GAGAGAGAGAGAGAGAGAGAGAGAGAGAGAGAGAGAGAGAGAGAGAGAGAGACAGAGACAGAGACAGAGAGAGAGAGAGAGAGAGAGAAAATGAATTGGTTTGGTCGGTTTGAGAAAGAGAGAGAGATTTTCTTGTTGAAACACGAAGTGTTGTTGTTCGTGTTCGCATGTCAGGATGGCGGCCGTGGAGTCGGAAGCATCATCGACATGGGCGCCGGGCTTTGAATCATCCCTGAGTCGGTATCAGATGTTAGCGCAGCTGTGAGTGGCTACAGGGGGTTTTTTTTCTTGTGTGTGTGCGGGTGTGTGCGGGTGTTGGGCGAGAGATGAAAGGGGCTTTTGCGGGCTGCCTGAATGTTGGTGCTCCTTGGGGGTGATGGCTCACGAAGGCAGCTTGTTGGCGCGCGACCTTTGCTGCATTACACCCAGGTCATATCTGCAGAGGAAGCCCGTGACAGGCGTGTACCTCAAGCCCACAGATGACGAGCGGAGTAAGTCTTGCCTTGCTTCTATACGGATGTGGCGCTGTCTGCTGGCTGACCGGTGCCGCATCTTGTCGCTCCTCCAGTCTGGTCAGGCATGGTGTTTCCAAAAGAGGGCCTCTATGGGCGGGCGTGTCTCAAGTTTCGTTTGACCTTCCTTCAAGCCGGCCATGCCGGTGCAGATGGGGCGACGCCAAAGCCCTTGCCTCTGGTATTGTCGCCTGCAATGTGCTCCCGACTGTAGGACTGTTGAGCCGACTCACCGCAGACCGTTTTTGCTGTTGTTAGACGGTCCATTTTCTGTCCAACATGTATCACACTCATGTGGACGAGGAGAACCAACTGCATCTCCCTCTTCAACACACTCTGCACGATTATTTGAGTAGTCTGAAGCAATGCCTCATCGATCCAGCCGAATTTGTGCGTGTTGAGGCGGCTCTGTACTTGTGGATGCGTGCGCCTGTGCCGATCTTCTATCTCATCCGGTTCCCATTCATACCCACAGCTGGCCAGTGCATGTCAGCCAAAGCTGGCTGAGCAATATCTCCAAGACCCTGTCGGATTTCAGCTCAAGGTCGGTGATCTATGTTCTTTGTGCTCCTTCTTTTGAGGCACGAAAAGCGCAACCAACCTGAAAAGTAGCAGCAAACTGACATGCGTGCGTGTGTACCTGTGTGCGTTTGCGCTCGTGTGTGTGCGTGTGTGCGTGTGCAGGTGGAGGAGTGCTTGCGACAGGCCGATCGTGACCTATACACCGCACCAGAGGAAGATGCAAGCTACTCAATCTCGTACGTTCGTGGCTAGGCCGGTGCTGCACGACAGGCGGGCCTTTGGTCCTAGATGGCTGAATTCACGCGGTGGTGACGTAGGCTAAGCCGTTACTCGGCTGCAGATCATCTCGAGGCACGGGCACTGCTACAAGGGGGCATAACAGCGCCCGCTGCGTTACAGGAACCCGTGCCCGTGGAAGGTCAGTTGTGCTGTCGGCTTGAGGCACACACACACTCAAGGCCGTGATCACGACTCAACTTGCTCGCGTCTGCCGTGGCTTGTAGGTTCTTCATTCGTAGATACAGATGGTCAAGGTATATGAGACGTGGGATTAAAATGAGAGCTCTGGTGTTTTGAGTTCTGACGCTCTGCGAGCGCGGGGGCCTCCTAGGTTGCATTTCAATTAACATGTGAATTTGGAAACCTGGGTGTTCCTGTACTTTTATTATTTAAAACGTTCTCTTAAAGCAGCTACTTTTTGGTTTACGTGTAAAGGCGGCGAAAAGCTTCAAAGGCTGTGGTGGGCAGCTCGGAGAGGGACTCGGGCGTCGCGTCGTCCATGCATTCGCGCCAGGTCGTGATGTTGAGGGGAGGGATGTTGGAGATGTCGGTCAGCTTGATCCCCTCAGCAAAGCAAGCATGGACCAGGTATGTGCGATCATCCTGGCCGTAGCGACCGGCGGTAAAAGCACAGACTTCGTCATAGAGCGCATACTGGACGCGACGTTGCTCACGATCAAAGATGATGGTGGTACCGTCCCATGCACATGCGATCATGAGCCATTCGGGCGGGCTGGTCATGAGAGCGGCATTGGATGTGGTGGTGGGGGTGGAGGAAGCGGAGGGTGTTGAAGCCGTGTCGTCTGGGCTGGAGGTTGCGACCGATTCGGTGGTCACCACGTCTGGCTCACTCGTAAGCGTGAGGTTGAACAGATCTTCCTCAAGGGTGGCGTGGGGATAGGCGGGGTGACGGACAACAGCGCTCTGGAAGATGGGATAGTAGACTTGCACTTCCCAAATGCAACGCATCTGCTGTAGATCAAAGGCAACGCAGCTGCCGTCCGTCGTGGTGATGAGGAGTGGGCTTTGTCCCTCGTCAGAGGCAGCAATATCACAGGCCGAGCGTTGTAGGACGGAACGAAACACCTTTCGGAGTGCGACAAGAGGCCAAGAAGGGTGGCGGCACAAGACACGGGATGAGACCAGGTGCCCAAGCGCTTGTCGTGGCCAGCAAATCAGATGGTTGGGATCATGCGGGGGCCAAGGGATCGCTTGGCTATGTGGCAGACTGACCGAGACGGCGTCTTGCTGGTAGGAATTGGAGAGGGAGATGAGCTGGCCGTTGGCTTTGATCAAGGCGAGGATATCCATCTCGTGATGAATGCTGGTAGCTGTGATGTTGCCAATCTATCGAAAGATTGGGCACGCGTTGAGTGACCGGCATCTCCCGTTTCGATGCCATCGAGAGTGGCCGTATGCCGCTGCCAGTGCGCAGGCGTGGCGGTATGGGGCATGGGTAAGCGCACCTGGGAATCATAAGCCGCACTGTACTGCATAATCAACGCAAGGGTGCGCCCTGCATAAATGTGTTGTCCTGTGTGGTGTGTGCGCAAGCAAATCGAATCCAAGACCGCATCAAATGAGAAGGAAACCCGGAGGCGCAGGGGCAGATGGAGCTGGATTGGCGCTTGACTGTGGGCTGATTATGGCGTCAAGGAACAATTTGGAGGTGGCCGACCTGCGAATGATGCCACGGCCTGGGCAGGAAAGATGGAGAAGATTTCGAGAACGCGGTCGGAGCGAGTCACGATCAAGCTCTAAAGATCAATGCCATGGAGAGGAGATTGGGGCATGTTGACGGTCATGGGTGAACAGGGTGAGCCACGTTTGTGCCAAGCACGCATGCGTGATAGGCTTGGGATATGGGTGAGTCCCGTCTGGGCTTGACTTGGGCGTACCATGAAAGAGGCAGTCATGCCTCGAGTGAGGCGTGCCACGCGCACGTTGACATGAAGCTGAATTGTCTCTTGTAGCTGCCGTCGAGTGGGGGCGTCGAAGTTTAAAAAATGGTTGTGTGAGGGAGGTTGTGCGGGTCAGCCACGCATCCCACGTGGTGTGTCAGGGATGAAGGGATGGGGTGGCACGTACCACAAGCTGGATAGAGCTGGGACTGTCGGCTGTGAGCTCGACGCGCACGAGGTAGACTTGACCATGTTCACTGAAGATGACGATGGTGGGCTAGCACAAAGCAAGTGCGATGGGGTGGGGGATAGGGTTGGCATTCAGAAGCAGGGAGAGGCAGGGGGAGGCAGGGGAAGGCAGGGAAGGCAGGTCAGGGGAATGTCAAGGGAGAAAGAAAACGAAAAGAAGTGAAGCAGAGGCTGTGGCTGTGGTCAAGGTGCGTTGCAAGGAGATTGGCTTACCCAGTCATCGGGAGCAAGGAGGGGCCCGGCACAGAGGCAGCAGAGGTTGGGACCGAGGGTGATGGAGGCTTGCAGGGCAAAGTCCTTGTAAATGAAAAGGCGGCCGGTGGGGTGAATAAAGGCAAGTTCGTTGTGCCCATCACGATCAAAATCAAAGAGGAGGAGCGACTGAGAGGACGAGGTCGCCGGCAATTCATCTGGCAGGTTGAGACGCCGGCAATCCGGAAACGAGATGGATCGTCCCTCATGAACCCACGCCATCCTGCCGTCTGGACCCAAAGTGCACACAACCGGAAGAACAGCGCAACAGAGAGACAGAGGGAGCCAGGAAGGTCCCAGCGACGCCAGATGCCGAGCAGCGAGATGGTCGAACTGGTCGAACGAGTGAGCGCAAAAGAGAGAGAGAGAGAGAGAGAGAGAGAGGTTGGAAGACGAGAGAGCGTCAAAAGCAGTGCCGTTACTTGCTGACATCTGGCATCTGACATCTGACATCTGGCAGCTTTCTAGATCATGGCCGGTTCGATGATGGCAGCTGCACACATCATCATCCTAAGTGGATGGGGATTCCTCCAATTTCGTCACCCAAACCCCCACACAATGTCCGTGCCACGCATCGCGTCTCTCTCTCTCTCTCTCTGTCGCTGTCTTTGCTGTCTTGGTCTCGGAGAATGGCAGCAGGAGAGTGTCGGGTCGGGCTGACTGACCTCCATCGCTGCTGGCGGCGGGGGCCACAAACGAACCAGATCCCATGCCCGGACACAACTCATGAGACTCGGGAACGGTCTCAGCAGCCAGGAGCTCCATACCACCAGAGCCGCCTCCGTTTGTCCCATTTTTGACCAATTCCACACCCACAACCCATTCATGTACGTGACTGACTCCGCTTCTTCCTCGCGCCATCGCCGAGCAGACCCGTTGCATCGACCGTCGCACCAGCAGCGAGACACGCACAAGACAGGCACAGAGCGACGGTACCACCCATACATAGCTCTCCAGATCTATGGAATAACACAGCGCTGATTCCATCAATCTGTCAAAGGGCGACGCTGCTCAGTCGACGGCCTTCGGGTCTTGAACGCTGGATCATCTTGCCCACGACCGCCAACTTGTCCCAATCCGAAAGGCCGCCATGACTCCTCTACAACAACAACAACAGTAACAGTAACAACAACCACAAGACCAACGACGACATTGCTTCCGCGTGCCACCCGCTTGTGATTCTCGGAGCTGCACGCAAAAGCAGCAAGTGCGACGGCCCCACTCCCCACCATCGCCACCGACACGTATCAGAACAAGCCGATGATGAATTTAATCGCACGTCATGGCATGTCCCTTATATTTTGCTTCTCCTCTCCCTCTCTTTCTTTCTTTCTCTCTCTCTCCCTCTCCCTCTCCCTCTCCGTCATCCACTGCACCTCTCACCGGACCCACCACCACAGGCTGGCGAGCCTGAGCAGTTTTCATCTTTGGATCATCGTGTGCAGCCCTCCCTCGTCCACCCCATACAGAGCTGGACGGCATTGCTTGGGAGCTTCCCTCAGCGATGGCAACCATGGCAGCCCGTGCCACGGTGCGCTGGGCTTTGATGCTTGCCCTGCTCATCGTTGGCGTTCAAGCCGATTGCCAACTTTCCCAATGTACGTCCTTTGATCTCGGCCTCTGACCGTTTCACTCGAGGCACTCGCTGCCGCGTAATCCATGGCCTGGCGTGAGGCCCCCCCAACACACCGGGTTATCTTCTGGCCCACTCACATGGCCTGCCATTGATGACCAACTCCTTGACGTCCACGGCGGCGGCTTTTGGAAACGACCGCCCTCTGGCAAACGACCTTCCAGATGTCGGCTGCTTCGACTTGGTCCGTTTCCTGCTCAGGCTGTTGAGGCAACATGGTCGACCTATTCTCCGCTCATGCGCTTCTGACCTTGTGCCCATAGGACCTTGAGAACACCCATTCTCACGAGACTATGCCTGTCGTGGGGTGCGTCATGCCTTTGGCTAGATACCAGCGTGGGGTGTTCGGATCTCAGCTCGGGCATCAGGCCCACTACCGAGTTATCCACAGGCCGAAGCAAAGAGCATTCGCGCACCTGCAGCCCCTCCATTCCACCTCACCTGTGCCTGCCGTTGACACCTGCCTGCCATCCAGACTTGATGAATGTTCGCTCTTGTGTATGGGTCACGGACATCTGGGTGCCGTTCGTAACGGCACAGATTGTTGGTGTGTTGAGGAGCACGTTGTCAACTCATCAGCAACCAGTACAGGTGCGCCGAAGCATCCAAAGCTCGTTTCCGTTCATCGGATAGCAGATTCACTGGGTGCACTGTCTCTCATTCGTTTTTGATTGGAATGGCCCCACGCTCCATCCCCATGCATAGCGTGTGATATTGTCTGCAACGACAACACCAGTCTCACCTGCGGCGGAACTACCGCTTTTAGCGTGGGGCGGGGTATCTGCACCTACGATCCGGCCAAAGAGTATGTCATTCGTATTCGTGCCATCCTCGTGACCAGGCCCATGCCCAACCCAGCGAGATCGAATGCTAACTCAACACACATTTGTGCTCGTTTCTGGCAATCCATGACCCCAGCCTGCCCTTGCTCCCTTGGACTTTTACTACTCGCGTGGAAATCAATGTCCTGGAGCGCAACAGCACCATGTACATGCATGAGTGGTGCGATGACGTTTTTCTTGCCCACAACTGTTTGTTTGTCTTTGATCTCCTGCTTCTACCCCGCTCGACCTCATCCAGGTGCATCACAGGTATGACGGGCCCGGCAATCGGGCTCGTCAATCCATGTTCCGATTTGAGGATCGCATGCGTCATATCCCCGGGGGTGAACTGGACTTGATTTATCGTTATGATCTTGATCTCACGGCCGTGGTGGTCAATGAGCATGACTGCCATGTTGAAGCCATTGAGGATGAGCGCTTCCTACCCTTTGGGGGCCACGGCATTGTCAACGGGTCACAGGATGCACGCATCGGTACTGTATGGGACTTTTTCGAATTTGGTCGGCAATTCAACGAGACCTACGAGGGCGTCTTTTATATTCGTGGTGTTCGGTGTGATGCATGGCACAGGTGCGAGCCAAGGCTAAAAGTGCACTTTGAAGGCTGCCGTTGACACTCAGCATAGCAAGCCGAGATCTTCGTTTCGGTGACACCTGGTCTCACTTCTATTTCATATATCTCTCAGTATGGTCAATCACAGTGACGAGTTTGGTTCAAGCCTCATGGATATACACTGGTTCTTCAACGACCCTTCGTGGTCTCTGGTTGGATCTCCCGAGCCGATTCCGATCCGCATGATCGTCAAGGGCAATTTTACGCATGCCGAGTCAGTCTCTTCTCCACAGTCTGCTCGACCAATTTGGTCCATCAGCTTGCTGATTCGGCGTTCAGCATGCACGCGCACTCATTTCTTTCTTGTCTTTTCATTGTATCCTTACATTTTTTTTTCGCACGTGGCGGGCCCTGCAGCAGCGGAAACGTGACCGAGTTTCACCACATGTACGACTACTTTGACTTCTTTCACAGCGAGATCCACCACCCCGTTTTCGAGATCGAGGATGTCTTCAAGCTACACTGTGATGCCCAATGCGGCCGAGGACCCATGGGCGAGCACTTTCCAGACGTGTGCCGTGATCCAACTCCGTACCACGGGCGCTGGGTGGCCCTGCCCGAGCTGCCCGACACCTTCACTGCCACTGTAGCTGCCAGCTTCTCCGACCACGGTACCACCATCTATTCGTACGAATGGGTGGATGAACCCAACAATTGGGGCCGCTTGGATAGCTTCATGGGTCGAAACGGCACTGGTAGCCACGTCTCTGCCATCTATCGCTATGACTTGTCAGTTCACGCGCATGCCCTTGCTTGCGCTCAGACGCTTGCCGGGTACAAGAGCTTGTCAACGGTGACGTTGGGCGAGAGACTATGGTGTTGGAATCACTTGGTTGGCCGGCATGCAGATGCGCACGCCTCATGATATGTGTGTTGTGTTTCGAAAGGGATCAGTACGTCTTCTTCTCACATGACAGCTGTCATGCTGGCGCCATTGACGATGCACATGTCTTCTTGCCTTTTGGAGGTGATGGTACGTCCATGGATCAAGTCGGTGGCTTTAACGCGGCACAGCTACCGACAAGTTGGTACATGACATGCCAAAGAGCTCTCGAATTGTTGAGCGGTCTCACGATGTGCCCTCGGGGCTATGAACTCTGCTCGGCACACCACACAGGTCATGGTATCGGGCGCACCTCGGACTTTTTTGAATTTGGCCGTACCTACAACGAGACTTACATTGGCAACAGCACAATCCGCGGCATCCTCTGTAACCAGTGGCACAGTACTCTGACGTTTACGCGAGGCAGCTTCACTCACGAACTCTACCTCAGCTGGTACTTTTCCCACCCTGAATGGGTCACACCCCAAGCCGGACACAATGAAAACATCAAATCTCTTCCCGTCCGCCTTGAAGTGCGCGGCGATTTCGGGTCAGTTGCTACTCTGCAGCAGGGTGGGCAAGTTGAGTCGAGCTGGGTAACAATACCGAACATTGGACCATTGGCTCCCGATGATGAATCTGACTCACCGCCATGGCACTGCTTGTTGACGAATGTTGGCGAAACTTAGGAACCAGTCCTTTGTCCATACACACGACTATGTGACATTTCGCGTTGGCATTCATGACTTTGGCTTTGAGGCCAGCTTCTTTGAGCTCCCGTGTCAGGCGGACTGTGCTGAGGCTGATGCCATCAACTTTCCTCGCACGCAGTGCTGGGCGCCAAACTCGGAAAACACAACGACAAACGCCCCGAGCGGCTCTTCGGGCTCGTGCAACAAAAATAACCAGACTGGCGCGGTATGAAATGCATGTGGCCTTCACTCGAGCGAGCCTCCTCCTACTCTCTTGTATGCCGCTCTAGCCTCATGCCTTTTGGTTGCACATGGATGCATGGGTAGATTGTGGGCACCTTGTTTGGCGGCTTGATTTTTGGTGGTCTTGTCGGGACCCTTGGTTTGTTGTTTTTCATGCGCTCGCGAAATGCCGCTTATAAGCCTCAGGTCGACACGCGAATGGAAGCCACCGCGCCCGTCCCTCCTGCCCAGTCGGAAGCCTGATTTTTTCGAGGTCTACCAGGGCGGGTGACGGCTTGCTTGCTTGCCAGCGTCTGTAAGCACAGGCCACGAATGAGGAATTCCATATCATAGTGTGTGTGTGTGTGTGTGTGTGTGTGTGTGTGTGTGTGTGTGTAGGTGGGTGGGTGGGTGCGTGCTTTGTGTCATTGCATCAGCCTCAAGGCGCGATTATCGCAGCCGAGAGCAGATTGTGTATGGGTTCGATGTTGCCTAGAGTTTTGAATGGCGAGCTGTGAACGTAGTCACTCAGTGGCTTTGGCGAGGGTGTTGAAATTCCTTGGCACCGCTACTCAAGACGGCCAGCTGACCAAAGTCTTGAGGAGCAGACGAGTCATGTTGGGCGTTGCGTGAGGAGATTGAACGCTTCAGCTTGCAAAGGAATAATTGATTGGTGGGTCATTCGAGACCTGAGACAGGTATACGCATGTACATGGGGTGGGACGAATGAGCTTCCCCAAAGGGGAAGGCAGGTATGCGGCTCAGCCGCGGCATACACTCACAAGAGCGCGCGAGATGAGAAGACGCGAGAAGACACATTTTATCTTCATTTATCTTCACACAGACTAGAGATGCTAGCACTCATGTAAGCTGAGGGTGCGCAGCCGAGTGGGGTCGGTTGTTCCAATATCATTCCGGCTCGCAGGGCGGGGCAAGTCGAGGCCGGTGGGCTGCGATAGGTTGGATGCATCGTTCCGGTTGTCCGCATCAGGATCAAATTGGCGATTAATCTCATCCACAGCATCGCGCAGTTGCTGATAGCATCGCATGTTGATTCTGCAACGACCGAACGCGCGTGAGGTAGATTGCGATGGGAGGTACATTAAGGCGCGCCACATGCGACCTGGGATTGACGTACTGATCTGCAAACTCCCGGTCCATCTCTTGGGAGCGCAGAATAGTGTCTTCAATGGCCTTGGAGAGTGCGTTTGGAGACCATTTGCTGTCAAGCCCAAGCCCGCCCAAAACCAGTGAGTTTGATGCACCACCATGCCATCCATGCCCACCATTGAGAAAGTGGCCAAGCGCCCGAGGAAGGGAAGGAAATGGCTGGGTACATGCCGATCATGCCAAACAAATACAAACAAACAAAGCCTGGTGAGACTGACTTGAAATTGGCCAGGTTATTGGCAATGCGATAGTTGGTCTCATTGATGGCTTCCTCAAAGGCTGCGCACAGTCGTCGGACGTATGGTCATGTTGTCAGGCAATTGCGAACAGGCATTGGCACAGATGAGGAATGGACACAGGTGAGATGACAAGTCGCCGGGCTCGGAAATTTGAGTCAAGAAGGTAGACACGACAAAACGCCACACGCACAGCGCAGAACAATGCCGTCAAAGCGCTGGTTGGGGGCACAGCTTTCGGGGAGCTGGTATGCCTTGACCGCACATGTCTGCAGCGGGTTTGATTAAGAATGGAACAGGGCGGTGGGGTGAGAATGCGGGCAAATTGCTCAAGTCTGAGCGCACCGTCAGGCGGGCGGTGCCACGCAGCTAGGGGGTACGAGGCGGAGTGTGTGCATGCCGTGTTCAAGCAAGCATTGACATCAGACCTCTTCGTGACGGCGCGGGTCGTAAGCGCGCACATTGATAAAGAGCAAGCCTACACGTCAATCAAGCTTGAGACTGAACGCAGCTCAGCGAGAGGACAAAAACCAGAAGCAAATGCATGACCAGGTGATGACCTTGGTGGGGAAGTTGGCGTGCCCAGTTGGGAAAGAGCGGTGACTGAATGTCCATGTAGTGCGTATAGGTACCGGGAAACTTGAGGACCATGGGACCCTCAAATTTCACGTCGTCAATCTGCCAATGACGCTCATCCTCAGCAGTGGTAACGGGGTGACAATAGGTGGCGCGCACCTAGGGGAACGATGATGCGTTGTGAGGTAACAAAAAAAAAACAAAAAAAAAAACAAAAACAAAAAACAAAAACAAAAACAACCGTATTGTGTAAAAACCACAAAGGCGAGAAAGGATGTTAGAGGTGACTAGGTCGATAGCATCGACTGATCACATCCTCTCTGGCCAACAATCTCGGGGGCGGATGGCCTTTGCTGTAGATGTGTTGCCCTGCATGTGTGGTGTTGCGGGGGCGAGGAGCTGCGTGGCACAAACTGACGGTGACATCGGTGAGGAGGTGGCCGAATTTGTTGACAATGCGGAATTGCATGTTGGGGCGGCCGTCGCGAGTGACAGTGGTCACGACACGGCTGAAGCGGATCCCGTTGAGGGGCTGACAGATCCAGCGATACAAATAGATCACAAAGAGCACCTGTGGGCGTGGGAGTCACACGACAACAAGCAGAGGGGGCAACGGTGAAAACACACACAAAAAACAAAAAAAACAAACAAACCAAAGACAGGATGAGTCGAGCGGTGCGAGGTAATGTGCTGGTGTGAGGGTTGCACGGAATAGATTGGTGGGTGTGGGGACCAACGGGCCTACCAAGGCAACGAAGCTGCCTAGGCTGGAGAGGGTGCCAAGGAAAAGGCAGAGGTCAGACTGATGGGCGGCTTCGGCATTATTGACGGCGGAGATGGCGGGATGCAGGCTGCAGGCTTGGAGGAGCAGTAGGAAGAAGGTGCGGGACGCCGTGGTATCGACGTTACACTCGGCGGCGGCAAAAAGACCGGTGGAAAGGCCAGCGATGGCAAAAGTGGCCATTACAAAGACGAGAAGAATGGCAGCGGGGTTGCGCTGCCAGCGCCAGACCCAAGTGCGCAGTCTAGTGGCGTAGAGGGGGGAGGGTGGGGCCAGGCGACAGCGGCGGTGCAGATGAATTGAGAGGGAGCGAGACAAGGCAATGGTGCAACTGGCAGGCGAAGACGGCGCCAGTATGGGAGGCACGCACTGCGTCAGGCGGGACACTGGCTCGATGATGGCATCGTTGCTGAGCACCTGGGCATTTGATCAACAGGCAATGGAGAGGTGGGATGAGTGTGGTGCGTTGTCAAGTTTGTAGGGGACCCTGCCGATCAAGCCCAAGGATCGGTGCGGCATGCGTACGCGGTCAAGGCGATCATAAATCTCGACGGGCTTGGGGCGAAAGAGAATGTCCCAAAGGGAACGAGGGCTGGGCTCGACCATGAAGCTCTTCCACATGCTCTGCAGCTCTTCTTCCTTGACACGTCGCGTGCTCGAGCTGGCTGAGCTGCATGATTGCAAAGGCGCATGGCGTGAGCGGGCGGGTGCGTCATGGCCCGGCCCGACCCAGCCTTGGACGAGCCGGCCTCAAGTCATGACGAGCTCACCTACCCGTTGTGCTCATCAGGTACCGACTGCTCCCGATCATGCAGCAGGGGCTCTTCATGATCGCGACTTGGCCCCTGTTCTTGATTCTGTTGAGCTTGGCGACGAGCGTTGACATCCGGTTCGGGCTGTACCGCCCGGGGTCGATGGCCCGGCGGTCGAAGCGTGGCCGAAGGCATGGTTACCGCCCCAGCGCCAGATCGAAAAAAAAAAAGACCAAAGGAGAAGAAGAGGAAGAAGGAGAAGGAGAAGAGGCAGCAAGTCAAAGAGCAGAGAAGCGAGCGGAGATGATGCCGAGCTGGTTCCCCCCCTTTCAGCGCCAAAATGACACACACACACACACACACACACACACACACACACACACACACACACACACACACACACACACACACACACACACACACACACACACACACTCAACACACACACACACTCACACACTCAACACACACACACACACTCACACACACACACACACACAAGAGGATCTGAGAGGAGGGTTTGAGTTTGAGGGTTTGAGTTTGAGAGTTTGAGTTTGAGAGTTTGAGGGAGAGTTTGAGAGGAGAGAGAGAGTTTGAGAGGAGAGAGAGGATGATTAAGAGAGGAGAGAGAAGGGGAAGGTCATGATTGTTTTTTCTATGCCTTGCCTTGACCATGGGCCTGAACCGCTGTCCTTCCATTCTCCAGATCCTCTTCCCGATCTTCGGACTGGAAGGATGGATGTTTCAAGTCCGCAGTAGAGCGATCCATCCCCTGGTTGACAACACCTTTTGTCAGCAGATTGCAAAGTTCCAGTCTCTGCGGAGACTCGGGCTGTATCTCAAGTCTCCTTGTCCCTTTGGGAGCGGGGAGACTCAATGGATGAACCAAAGTCGAACCGAAAGTGAACCTGCATGCGCGTGAGAAAGTGTCCCAGAACCCATCCACAGCGACTCAACTTGTTCCAACATGGGAAATTCCTTTCTAAAACTATTCAAAAAATCACTGTGGCAGCCTTCCTTTCCTTACCCCTTTGCGCGAGCGGCGCCAAGGCGACTGGCTCTCAGCTTCGGGCTCGCCTTGTTCCCACGAAACTCAAGCCTTGGCTGTTATTGGCCCCTCCTTTGCGATTTCTTTTGTCTCTATCGCTCTTGGTGCTTGCTTCTTGGTGCTTCTTGGTGCTTCTTGAACCCCACCCTCCCCCTTCCACTCGAATCCACACACACACACACACACATCCACAAGGGGCCCTTTACCGCAACACTCACCCTGTGAATGCTGACGATCACAGCTGAGCCACAACATAACAAAAGAACATTATCAACCACAGCGTCAACCAAGCAACAGGCAACAGTCGCAGCTATTGCCTGTTGCTGGCAGTTACACACCCCTAAGCCAGTTCCACCAAGTCACCACAGTAAGCCCCGCCCCCCTTAAGCTGATACTAGCTTAGTGTTGTCGTCGTGGCACACCCACTGTGATCACAACATAGCGCAACAGCTTCACCCACTGATCCGCCCCCCTCCCGCCCCTTCCCCCTCCCCTTCCCTTCTGGCTTGAAACACGACTGGGTGCCAAAGGTTGTGAACGGCACCACGCCCCAGCTGGCAATTACCGTTTCGGCCTCTTCTTCGCGTCTTCGTTCCGTCGCTTGTCCTTTTCCCCTCCTCCCCCAGATCTACCGCCATCATGTCTGCTCCTAAGAAGTGGGAAGTCAAGCCCGGAGGCTCCGGTGCCATCGACATGGCCACCGCCACTGCCATGAGTGAGTTGTATCGTTTGCCCGCGACCGTTTGAGATGTATCTGTGCTTGTGCCTGTGTTTCGAGAGGGAAGGCGTCGCACTGCCGCGCGCGACCGCGAGCGCGTTTTGGTGGGCGGGGTTTCTTTCTGTCTTTGGTGGCTCTGTGCCTTCTCTCTGCGCACACACTCGCTCCGCAACACACACGAGAGCCCGCTGCTTGTACAGACACGGGCAAGGCTTTAGGATTGAGATTGAGATTGAGATTGAGATGAGCTTTTGAGCTCTGGTCACGCTCTCTTGCTTGTCTCGTGTGTGTTGGAGGAAGGGCGTTTTGTTTTTGTTTTTCGTGGCAAGAACGAGATCAAAGCAAAGCAAGGTCCTGCCCACCCTTTGTGTGCATGATACTCGGGCAGGGGCTGGTGGTGTGGTGCCTTCCTTGTTATTGTTAACATTGCTTGCTCGACGAACCACCCGTCGAGCTTGCTTCCGTTCTCTTTTATTGCCTGATGATGCAGTGCCAATGCTCACCTTTTTTTCCCACCGTTTTGTAACATCTTTCCTTGCTTTGCAGAGAACGCCAAGAACGCCTCTCAGGCTCAGTCCCTCCGCTACAACCCCGGCCAGGCTCATGCCCCCACCATTGATGCCGGTTCCTCGTCGATCGCGCACGCCATGAGCGTGCCCGACTCCAAGCACACTCAGCTTGAGTTCCAGAAGGGTACCGGCGAGTCGAAGGTTGGCGTCGACTCGTTCGCCGTGTCGAGCGCCATGAAGGCCCCGGCTCCCCCGCGCACCATCAACACGGTCGACAAGACCCGTTCGGTGACCTCCCAGCCTGGCATGAACTAGAAGCATTTACTCCCATGTTCTTCATGCTTTGGTTTTTGTGTGTTGACGACGTTTGCCCGAGAATCTGATGATGTTGTCCAACCACCCTGTTGCCTCAACCCTTTTTCTCGCGCGTCGTGTCGTGATCGAGCTCTTTTATCTGAAATTTAAATCTGGACTTGTATTAACATCTTTCCTTCCGTTTTCGTCACACACACACGCACACACACACACATAGCACCTACACATGGCAAGGTCAATGGAAGGAGCTCTGGAGCTCTGCGACCTTGGCTCGCAACGTCCTGGTCTAAGAGTGATAATACTCACAACGTGTCAATTCGGTTATCGAATCATGATTGCCAGCAGGCTAATGGTCCTCTTCAATGTGGCGCGCTGCCACAATGTAGTCGAGCTTAGGAAAAGTGCTCTTGAGGTAGGGGTTGCCCTTGGCCTGAATCAACCCCTGATTGGGCTTCTCACGGTACTCGGCGTTGATGTGCTGCACGACATTGTCCATGCCCTCAATCACCTATCACACAGCACAACACAACAGCACAACAGCAGCAGCGTCATCCAAAAGCATCTCCATGAGCTGGCCTCTGCTAGTCATGCAGGGCTTCAAGTGGAAGACAAACTCAAGCAGACCTCGCCAAGCGTCGCAAAGCCCTGCTTATCCAATGCGGCGTTGTTGCCGTAATTGATGAAAAGCTGCGTTGTTCGTGTGTTAGGCCCTGCGTCAAGCAGTGTGCCCCAAGCATTCGAGGGGCGAACCATGAGGGGCGCGGGGAGCTTTGAGCGCACAAGTCTGGGTCGAGGCAAAGCAGTCTGTCCAAAAAAAAAAAAAAAAAAGTAGGGCCGGTGCAAGGTCCATACCTGCGGCAGCAAATGCCAGGGTGCCTCGGCGGTTCGACTCCTTGGGTGGATCGTCTTGGATGGATTGCGCACGCCACTGCTTCGAGATGGCGGGATCTCCATGGATCCCAAACTGCACCACAAAGCCCGGCAAGACACGGAAAAAAGCAATGCCGCCGGTCGTGCTCCCATCAAAAAAGTTGCTCTGTATCGCGTTCAAACCCGCCAAGAAGAGCAATCAGGCCCGGGGAGAACGGCGAGGCATGAGTACAATTTCAGATGTTTTTTTTTCCATCTCCGTGCATTCCAAACCCATAATCCGATCATGCACGCCAAGGCTAGGCCGAACAGGCTGGTCATACCTTGTACATTTCCCAGATGCGTTGCACACCCAACGGTGCCCAAGCCTTGGTGAATCGAGCCCGGAAAGCGCCCTATAATCCCAAACAAAGTGTCATCGGTCACCAGCCAGGGCGGAGACCAAGTCACTAGTGCTTATGGAGATGAGGAGCACAGACCTTGGTAGTTTCAAACTCGAGGATGAACTGCTCCGGGCAGCTTCCGATGGGCGTGCAGTGGCGATGACAGCAGCCTGCTGCTTCATCTGGTACCAGTTGCTCCATTTCCAAAACTGGACAGGAGCCGGGCGCTACACTCTTGGGGCAAATGGTTGAGCATGAGGCGGGTCGATGCAGAACAGGCCTCGTCGTGCTGGCTGCAGCCACCGAAGCTGGGACTGCTTCCGGGCGGGCCACTGTGCCAACGTGGAGCGATTTCAAAGTCAGTAGCATTCAAAAAAACAACAAAGGCGGGTGGTGGCGGTGGGTCCCAAATCGGGCTGCCTCTGCCTCGATCTGAGCACAGCTTTCCGTCACTCGACACCTTGATCATGATGGGGCGCTGCTCAAGGCTTACCTGTCGGGGCTGGCGCGTGGATCACGCGATCCTCGCTTCGGCGCATAAACACGACCAGGGAGATGAGTAAGAGAGCCAGCCCAAAGATGAGCGGAGTTCGGCGCACCATGCCGTCGGTATGCACGGGCTTGGCCGTCGTCTTGCCGCTGGCTACCCCTGGGTCCGTCACCGGTACAGCCGTCCACATTGGGGCACTTCACGTTTCTGACTCCTTTTTTCTGACAACAGAGAGCAGAGAGAAGCTTGAGAGAGAGAGAAAATTTAATGAATTGGTTTAGAGAGAGAGAGAGAGAGCGAAAGCCAAAAAAAAAGAGGGAGCGAAAGCCAAAGAGAGAGAAAGCCAGAATACAAAAGAGCATAAATTCAGCTGCAGAGGCTCTGCGGAAGTGTGACGAATGGCAGAGTTTGAGAGATCATCGTGATCATAGGGATCATTTTTATCAGCTCCAGCACCAGCAGCCGTCAAGATGTTGGGCCTGAGTCAGCAAGTGGTACGTGTTGCTGGCTGGCTGCTTCACGTTCCAGGAAAAGGGCAGCCGCTTCGAGCATGGGAACCAGAGGGCGATGAGCGGTGTGAACGTGGTAAAACTTTGGAGAGGAAGGGGTAGATAAAGAGAATCGCGGTTTTGGTCGGCGATTTTCGCCAATTCTGGACCATCAATCTCTCGCACAAGAGATGGGCGAGGGGCTCGTTGGCTGCACGCAAAAAGGGGCCCAGCGCGCATTGAGAGCATGACCGCCAATGCCAAAGCGTGGCTTCGGGGACGGGCCATGACATAGGGCCTTGGGGCATGCTTGTAGCACTATTATTATTTCGTGTGTTGGGAGTCAAAAACCGGTGCGCGTTCACATGAATTATCGGCCTGTGCTTTACTTTTAGGCGCGCTCCGCGCTGCGCGCCCGCGCGCCCATGCGCCAAAGCGTTCGCTTTGGTTCCGGTGGCGGCTTCCCCACCAAGTATCAGACTGAGATTGGCCCGGGCCACGTTGCTCCCGTGTAAGCTCCTCATTGCTCTCCCTCTTCGCCTGCTGTAGCTATTTCGGGTGCACGTCATGAGTGCGCATGCGGCCTCTCCGTGTTGTTTCGCATCCTTCTTCTTCCTTGTCAAAGCCGTATCGATGCCATTTCATGCATCACTTCTCGTCCCGTCCTGGCTTCTCTAGGCACTCAATCACCGGTACGGCCATGGGTGCCGTCATGTGGTTCTGGATCTTGTGGCGTGCCAAGCACGACCTGCCCCACCTTTTGGTCAGTTGGCAGCTCACTTCCGCGTTTAGTGCTGTTCTGTCGCGTGACTCGTACCTATACACCGACACACCAACGCTGTACATCTCCATGGACTCATCAGCTGCTCCATCGCCCGTCCATGCTCATCCATTGCTTTCTCATCCATGTGCCGCCTTCGTTTTGTTCTTGTCTTCAGGGCATGGTCGAGCACCACATTCCTGAGGAGCCCCATCACTAGAACACTCTTGAGACACGTCCTTTGATACACTCTTCTGTGCTTGATTTGCACCTTGTTTCCTGTTTCTAAATTGTTTCCTCACCCTTGTCGATTTTTTGCGTCTCTGTGACACGCTCACGACCCTACCCGCGTTGCGTCGGGCGTCATGCCCTTCCCATTGGTTCAATGATTTTTTTTCATCATGTGCCCTCCGTTTGTTGCCAGAGACTGCGTTTCTTTTGCAACCAAACCAATTTCAGGATTAAACTCTTTCAATTGCTGGCTGCCCTGGCCCCTTTAATCCTGCTTGCCTCATAGTCAGCTCTCTTGACACACCTGGTGGCTAACCTACATTGTGCAGATCACTGCTCTGCTCTTCCATTTTTCTTCTTCACTTCTCGATTCCTGATGTCTTTTCTCCTCTCGAAGGCAGTGCCAGTGTCAAACATGGCAACAGGCGAAGGCCCAGGGAATGAACACAACACAAAGCAAGCAAACCATGCAAAACAAAAAAAAAGCGAAAAACAAAAACAAAAACGACACCAACACAACCACATGTCTCTTGATGAAGGCTTTGTTACAAATCACACTGCATGTTCAAGAGCAAGCCAACCACAGAAGGCGGCAGACCGTGTGTATGCGTGTTAGCGGGTCCCAGGCGAGGCTGAAACACCACGTGCTGCCCGGCAGCATGCGCCTCGGCCACACTCGCCACCTTGAGGGCCGGAGCAAACTTGCATTGGTGCAAGACCAGCTATCCCACCAGGCTTCTACTTCTACGCGTTCGCACTGATGGGCTAGAGCGCAGCGATGTACGAAAGCGTGCCTCAAAGAGGCTTCAACTCAAGGTGGTCAGATCCTCCTCAGCTCGCATCCGACTTGCTGCGCTTGGGCTCCACTGAGGTTGCCGAACTGGACTTTTTACGCTTGACCAACTACAACACAGTAGCCCACGGATCGTGGCCAGTCAGTCGGTCGGTCAGTCGGTCATTCAATCAGCCGTGCCCGTTTTTCCCAGACTTTCAGGTCCACGCGTGGACACAAACGCACCGTGGCCGTTACATCGCGCGCAGTGCCCTGTGCCGAGGGGGCATCAAACCCCGCTTGCTGCTGCTCCGATGTGCCTTCTTTTTGTATCCGCTGCAGGCATCACACGCATCATGTGACGTCGCGTTACCGAGCGGGATATCAGGTTTGAGGAAATACCGTGTAGGAGTTTCTGCACAAAGGCCCCTGAACGTACTTTCAACGCGTCAATCTCATCATGACGCTGCGTCAAGGACTTAAGCAGTTGGCGTAGCTGCGCCTCGTTGTCGGGCTTGTCATCTGTAGCCATTCCAACCAAGGTGCTTAATCAGGGGGTGACGGGCTTGGAAGGACTCACCAGGCGCCCTCGTTAGCACGTCAGCACAAGCGCAGCGCAATACATACTGGCAACGCGTGACAGTAGGCCAATGGCTGTCTTCAGGGTGTCACGGGCCTCATCAAACTGCTTGGCTGCCGTCTGCACACCACTCAGCTGTTCCAGCCTACAGCATTTAGCCCAGAAGGAGGTGAGCTGCTTTCTTGGCTACTCTACCCTCACCAACGTTGTTCAAAGCCTCTCACGCCTTTGACACGCGCGCACCTTTTGGCATACTCATAGCTGGCGTCGGGGTTCGAACCATCATCTGCACACAGTTCAGCTACTGCCGCTACAGATGGAGACATTGGGTGGGGGGAAATACATGAGGAACACTCATGGGTGCAACCTTCATCGGCGAGGTGATCAAAAAAAAAAAAAAAGTTGATGCATTGGAATGAAGCCCACGGACCAAGTTCAACGGCCGAGGCTTCGTAATCACCAGCCTCCATAAGCAGCTTGCCAATGCGAAAAAGAGCATCAATGCGCATCTTCTTGGCTGCGGCCTTGCCATCATGCATCTCATGTCCAAAGAGAGCAGCACTGAGTTGAAGACAGTCAATGGCCGTGGCCATGTCCTCTTCCACCTCCTCATCGCCCTAGATAGTGTTGGCCACGCCCAAAGCCCACACGGTGAGCAACGGGTACTAGAGCGTAACAGCGGCCATTTGTGGCCTGACCTGCAGCGCATCGTCAATGTTGCCTAGGCCTGCTGAGTTTGCAGCTTGGTTCCTATGAAGCAGCTCGCAGCATGAGCATTTAGCCCAAACTAGCTTTGGGATCCCTTGGATTTGGGGTGGTGCTCAGCCACGCGGAGACGAGCCGGCAATACCACCAGCAGCAGGCGCGATAGCTGTCACTCACATGCACTCATCCAAAAGACTGATCGCATAGTAGTAATACATCTCGGCCAGTTCGGGATGAGCATCGCCGACTTGGCTGCCGCTGTGGGTGTCGCACGGCAAGATGTATCCTTGAGTATTGGGCTCATGCGCCAAGAGCTCACTTCGACACGGAATAATCAGACAACACTCAGCCGCACAAACTTACGCAACTTCCAGGATTCCGCTCAGGCGCTCTGCGATGCCCTCATTGACGCCCTTGAGCGAGTCTCGACGCACGGCCTTGAAGGCTTGCCACGTCGCCTCGTCGACATGCTTGCTCAGATCAACTTCTTGCTCTGCCTCCTCATCCACCTCGTCCTCCTGATCGGAGTCCCCTTGCTCATGCGCGATCTGCTCAAAGACGGCCTCTTGCTCCGCAGTCAAAGCCGAAGCCGAAGCCGAAGCCGAAGCCGAAGCTGCCGCTCCACCGCCGCTCGCCATTTTGTCGAGTTTTTGCTTGTTCAAATGTCAGATGACCGTTACAACACCCGAGACCGGGATGCTGACATTTGGTAGCAAATGGCGGGAGTTTAGTTTTGAGTATTATTTTACAGGGACTTTCCAATCAAAGCCGATACAATCAACTGGGTCGTTTTCCCGCCAAAACTCTCGGAAACGTAGACAACGCCAGCTGTGGGGAAATAGCATTCAACAGCTCTTCGCTTCGTTTCTTCACACAGTGCGATCCGCAGACCTTCAAATGGCAGCCTCGGTCATTTGATGGTGCTCATCCAAGCCACATCTTCTTGATATCACTGATATTAATAAGACCCTGCTGCTGTGAGGGGCACATTCTCCCGCCCTTTTTTGGTATGACACTGCTTTGATCACCTTTCTGCATGCAGCCTTTGACAGCGCCCGAGGCAGCTCACCCTCCCTTTTGCTTGGTCATCTGACCACGTTTTTTTTCCCCTTTCTGAAATGCCGAAACTCAAATGCTACGCTGGTACCCTTTGCCATGTGTCAGGAGCAACGCGAGTCGATCTTATCGAGCCCTGGCGGCCCCTCTCCCCTTCTCCCTTCGGAACCTTGCCTCCTGCAGCTCGCTCGATTGGTCCCCTCGGAGCACCCCTGATCTGATCATGGCCTCGTCTGAAATTCCACCCACGGACCAGTCCGTACCCGTGCCCTTCATGCCTGTTGGCCCATCACAAGGCGCACCGCCACAGTCCTTGGCAAGCGCAGCCCTCACCTGTGCACCTGGACCAGCTTCCGGAGTCTACTACGACCCCGCAGCCGCTTCACGTGCCCGTCCAGATTTGACGCCGCGTGGAAACAGTTTGCCTCATGCTGGTGCCGCACCCCTGACCAGCCCCTACACCATGCCCCACGCCAATGCGACACCCCTGGGTTACGCGCCGCCCCTGGGCACTCAACCCATGCCTCCCCATGCGCACCTGACGCTAACTCCGGGGCGTGGCGTCAATGATATCACACCACTTGCTCACGACTATTCCGACGTCTACAGCGCCATGACCACGCCACACCAACCAGCTGCAACACCATCCACCACCACAAGTCGGGACCGAGCACCGCGCTCTGAAAAGTCCCTGCACCTCCTCACGACCAGATTTATCGATCTATTGCAAAACACACCGGGCGGCAGCCTGGACCTCAAAGACGCGGCTGAAAAGCTTGATATGCGCCAAAAGCGCCGCATCTATGATATTACCAACGTTCTCGAGGGTGTTGGCCTCGTTGAAAAGACCAACAAGAACGTCGTTCGCTGGCGGTAAGCTTGACGTTTCCCTCCTCGCACCCTATCGCACTAATTGCAGACCATGTGTTATCATTTCTGGACATTTCACCACACACACACTCCGCGCACCTTGTTCTTCTTCGTGCAAGCCTCACCCCAACTGGTCAATTCCTCATGAACGCGTGTGACAGGCATGATCCTTCCTCCGACTCATCCTCGAGCAACGCCCAAACCCGGGCCGTCCAAGAGGAGATTGCGAGCTTGGATGCAGAAATACAGTCCCTTGAGCGCTTGACCCACGTGATGCAGGATCGACTGCGCAATGCCGTGGACGAAGTCGAAGACCCCAAGCTCAAGGCCCTACCCTACCGAGACATTTGTAAAGCCAAGGGCCTGCAAGACCAGACCCACTTTGCCATTCGTGCGGAACGTGGTGCTACCATGACCGTTCCGGAACCCCAACCGATCGACAATCAGCGCACACAATACTGCCTTTACTTGCGTGGGAATGCTGGTAGCATCAAGGCATTCCTGGTAGTGGATAAGGGCAATGGGTCTGACGAAGAGCAACCATCTACGCAGCCTGAATCTCAAGCCACTAGCATTGTCGCCGCACCTGGCAGCACTCATGACACCAGTGGTCCCAATGCAAGTGACCGTGCAGCACCTGCGCCCAAACGTGCCAAGCAGGTATGAGTTTGATCATTGCTCCAAAGCCTCGACCCCCCATAATACCGAGTCTTGACCCTGCAAATTTTGACGTGCTTTCGCAATCCTCGCGCAGGCGGATATCATGTATGTCAATCCCCCTCAGAGTCAAGCTCCTTACACATTTGGCGTCCGCGAAACCGACACCGTCGATGAGTACTTTCGCTAAAGCATCTCAGCAAAGAAAGAAAAGAAAGAAAAAAAGAAAGAAGAAGAAGAAGAAAAAAAAAAAAGGGTTTGGTCCGCTCTTCATGGGCTTGGCCAAGGTCCTGTGTTCTTTTCCTTTGCTCTGGGCACTGCGTGCCAAAAGACACACGTTCGCACACGACGCACGACTCGATGATATTTCCTTTCCAGTCACATGTAATTGCAACCATGTCTAATTGTAATTTGGTATCAAATGGCAAGCCAATTCTGTGGCAGATTTGATGAAAATAAGGGTGGGGGTTCTTGTGAGATGGTTTGTGGCGTGTCAATTTGCGGCGGAACCTGGCGCTTTCAAACCCATCCGGATGCGCATCAGCTCGCGTCCCAATGAAGTGACAAACGAACGTTTGGGAGACCGTGGATCGAAAAACAACAGGCAAACGAATAAAAAGGCAATTTCGGACCAAACGTTTTAATGTTGTTCCTCCTCGTGCAGCTTGAAGATCTTTTGCAGCTCCGAAGCGTCTGAAATCTTCTTGCCCTCGCGGATGACCTTGCGGGCAACTGGAATCTTGCCAAAGACATTCCAGAGCACACAGCCAACGACGCGATCATCGCGCAGGTAGAATACGACACCCTGTCAAGTGAAAATGCACACGCATGAGCCGCGATCTCAATCAAGGCGTTTCATGCCTGCAAACGAAGGCTAGGCGTTGTGGCTTGCCCAGTGTCAGCAAAGACACAAAGAGTTGCAAGCTGTCAAAACAAAAGCAAACAGCAAAAAACAAAAACAAAAACAAAAAAGTCATAGCGCCATACCTTGCCGAATTGCGGAGCATCACCCTTGGACTCTGCCGCCGCTCCCGCCACCTTCTTGTCCGATCCTTCTTGACCCGATGCAGCACTGGGGTTGGCCTCGTCCACGCCAGCGCGAATGTTGCCCTGCTGGGTAGCCGCCTGCAGCAAGCATACACCCATAGTTGGATCAATGTCCGAGTGCCACGGAGCAGAATATGGCAAAGAAAAGATTACCTGGGGAGTGTCGGCATCGGTGGCCTTGGCCCACACACCGACGGTCTTCAGGGAAGAGTCGATGATGCCAATGGCCTCATAACCAATCTTTGGGCCCAAATCACTCCAGAACATGGATTGATGAGCGTAGGGGCGGCGGGCACCGGCCATGTTTTCACCAGCCAGACGACCGGAAACGGCCGCATGATCGTGGTGCTCCTCACGTCGGCGACCCAGGCTCATATCGTAGAAGCTGGCCACATCACCAGCCACAAAGACATCACGGCGGGCCTCGAGCTCTGAGTTGACCAGGACACCACCCTTGACGGGGTCAACCTCCAGACCGGCATCTTCGGCCAAGCCCGTGTTGGGCTTGAGGCCAACAGCGACCAAAACGTAGTCAGCCGTCATTGTCTCGCCTGACTCCATGCGCAGCTCAACCTTGTCGTCTACATTGGTGCCCGACAAGCAACAAAATGACAAGAGAGGCGAGTTGACGTTTTGAACGCTCTGAGACCCATTCGCGCAAGTCGTAAGAGAACACAACATACCCTTGATGGCAGCCCCGGACACTCGCGAGTTGGGCTTGATGGCAACGCCCACCTCGCTAACCCGAGCGGTTGTCCACTTTTGAAGATATTCGGGCAGCACCTGGGCCATGTTGCCTACCAAGGGAGAAAAAAACCACCGCAAAACCCAGCATGAAGCCACGCTGACAAAGAGATAACCAGAGGGAAATCGCCACAAACCAACCTTGCTCCGGATAAACCTGATACACGGTGCCCTTTGAGCCCTGCTTCTTGGCGTTGGTCGCCAAAGCCACGGCCAGCTCACTACATTTGGCCACCACGAGTTGATAAGCAAGTGGAACGTTCTGCAGTTCGACACGTGTCTGATAGCCGCTCCCTTGATTGCCGGCACCGACTCAAGCGGTGGTGCACACCTGCCAAGGAAGCCACCGCCAACCACAGCCACAGTCTTGCCCTGATCTGAAAGAGCCTTCAGGCGCTTAAAGTCCTCAATCTGATGCACCAGCACGAGCCCCAGTCGTAGCATATACACAATGTTAAAGAACAGCGCCCAACACTGACACGCTCACTGCCACTCCCCCGAAGAGGAGCGGTTCGGCTTGTAGGCGTCATAGGTACCAACCGTACGATACAACACCACTCGGTCACCAAATGCCTCGCCCTCAAGCGCGGGGATGTTCTTGGGGCTACCACCTTTATATCGCAAAGGCATCAAGGCAAAGCGAGTCAGTAAAAACGGGTTGAGGGCGAGGGGCAGGGAATTAGACAAGTCTGGAAGTTTGCGTGGTCTAATCCCGCTCTGGTATGCTCACCAGTCGCGATCAAAACCTTGTTGTACTTGACGATTCGGCCATCACTGAGCGCAACGAGCTTGTCGCGAATGCTCAGCGCCTTGGCCTATGAACACAAATGAGCGCCACTGAGACAGCCAGAACGCAGGCCTAGCAAAACGCGGTCAAAGTCAGCGGGCAGCAGGTAAGGGGTCGTGACAACAAGGCGCACTTCTGTCTTCTTCAACAGAGCCACACCCGATTCGGCCGTGTTCAGATCCTTGGGGTCAGCAAAGAAACTATCGTTGCGGTAAAAGATGCTATTTGCAGGCCATGCAGAGATAAGCATGAGAAACCAAACGCGGAGCCCGGGCTGCGGACCGCTATAGTCGCCATGGCCGGCACTGCCAGTACTGACTCGCGCTCGCGGCCGCTCCAGTCCTTGAAGCGAAGATCGTCGCGGTCCTCATCCCGGAACCAGAGTTCCTTGGACAATGGTGTACGGGCATAGGGGGCACTGTCCTCAGCAGTCACAATCAGAATCTGGATTTGCCCATTGCAAAGCGGGAATGTGCCAGATTAGATTTAGATCAAGTGCTACACAGACACGCTTTGTTGTACAAGAGTGGCATGCCTTGGCATCTTTGTCCTTGTCCTTGATGCCTCGCATGGCAAAGTAAGCAGCCGTGCCGCCACCAATAATCAGGTACGGCACTTCAATGACGCCCGTGTCCTCCTCGGTTGCCTCGGCCACCTCGGTTGCGGGAGGTACAGCGGCAGCCTCCGATGCAGGGGCTTCTGTTGGTGGTCACACATAGGAAGCCAAGGTCCGTCCAAATGAAGTGATATCCCTGCTCCAAGTCTCTACGCCAGGGTGCGGTGCCGTGGAGGAATCAAAGGGCCATACCGGTGGTGGCTGGCTGGGCTTCAGCTTCAGATGCTGGGACAGCATCCGAGGCTTGAGGCTCAGTCGGGAATGGCGTCGCCGCCGCCGGAGTGTCTACCACAGCTTCCTCAGGCAGGTTGAGGGGTACCACGTTTGGCTCCATACCGCTAAAGTGCTGCAAGAGATGGTTCAGCGCTTCAGTCAGTGGCGGCAACCCCAGCCAGATGACACAAGGTGCACGAGAACAATACACCAGCACAGTGGCAAGGGCTCATACCATGTACCCTGCCAGGCCGGCAAGACCGGTGGCAGCGGCAATCAGAGTCGGGGAGACGTGCGAGTCACCACCGGGCTGGTAGGCCATGCCCCGGGTAAATGTCGAGGGAATGCGGCGGGCCGAGCCGCGGGCCACGCCCTGCCGCAGGCTCCCCACGGTTTGGCGACCACACAGACGCAGTGCGTTCATCATCCTGACAGGTTCTGAATGGCCAGGCAACGGGTGGAGGTGAATGAGTCGACCCACAGCAAACACACATCCATCCTTTTTTCTCCTCCGAGCAAAGCCAGCCTCGAGAGGATCCATTAAGCGGGCGGCTCGTATGGTATTGCTCGCCGGCACATCACCGGACCACACACACACACACACACACACACACCTCTTGAGCAAGAAGAAGCAAGAAGAAACTGATACCACGTTGTGGCTTGCTTGGCGAAGAGCAGAGAAAGAGGAGAATTGGTCAGAGAGAGAGAGAGAGAGAGAGAGAGAGAGTGAGAGAGAAAGGTATGAGAGAGAGAGAGAGAGAGAGAAGAGAGAGAAAAGAGAGAGAGAGAGAGAGAGAGAGAGAAGAGAGAAGAGAGAAGAGAGAAGAGAGAAGAGAGAAGAGAGAAGAGAGAAGAGAGAAGATAGAGAGAGAGGGGAAGTCTGAGAGAGAGAGAGAGATGGATGTTTGCGCACACTCCGTGATAATGCACACTCATGTATAACAAAGTGAGGAGTCATGATATGACCACTCTTCCTCGCTGTGATCTCTGTATCCTCCAGGAGCGGGCATCGTGGTGCTCGACCAACACGGCCCATCACCTGCCTTTCATCGCCAACAAATGTGTGTTCGTGCGCCCACCACCTCGGCAGAGGCAGAATAGCGCCATGAGGTGCAGGCAGCGAGTAAGCTTGGTACCTCGACTTTGACGAGCCAAGTTGAAAAGTATCGTGGTGTTGAGACATGGAAATCGATTCATCTGCGGCAGCTACAGCAGCTACAGTGTTTGCATCAGGTGCACGCCTTGGCCCGATTTGATAGGCTGCCTCTTACAGTAAAAGCTTATGGCACTCCTTCATGCAGTCAGCTTTCGATGCAACGCATGGTTATACATGACATCGTTGCGTCGGCGCAGAGCAACTTGGACAGGAACTGGGTCAAGACCGGCAAACACACTCGGGAAAAGAAAAAGGCCGGGGTTGACTCACTTATGCGGACTGCCCGTGGCCTTGCCCGACACGGAAACCTTGAAATCAGACAGAAGCTTGCAGGCCTCGCACAGCCTGGCAGCCTCATCCAGGCGGAGATGATTCAGCGCAGCCACCAGCTTATCACGAGACCCGTCAGCCTCTAAAAAGTCCTCCATGACACGCGCCAAGGCAAAGCCATCATGCCCCTTCGCCATCTTCGCATGTGGGATCGCATCACCGTGACGATACGGCTCCAGCACCTCCGCTGCCGTGGCAAAGTTGGAGGCATAGCGGGGTACATCGGCGAGGAACCGGCCAAGATCAAAGTCAATGAGAAAGGCCGCAGGATGTTCTTCCCAGTCGCTGCAAAACAGAATGTTGCGGGGGAGAATGTCGCCGTGCACAAAGTCGACGCTGTGGATGGCCTCCAGTTGGCGTATGACCTGGACCAGTTGCTTGAGCTCGGTGGGATGCGCCAGCTCCACGTAAGGGTAGCTGAGCACATGCACGGCAGATGCAAGCTCCGTCACCTTCCATTTCTGATAGAAGGTGCCCGTCGCCTCCAGTTGAGCAAGTTGCCTCAGGATTCGCTCATTGGGCGGGTGGCGGCGATCTTGGTCATTCACGACACGGTTCAAGGCGCTGCAGAGGTTTAGGCTGCGACCCCAGTAGTCAAAGTGCTTATACACCGTGCATTGTTTTCCTTTGCTGTAGACCTGCACGTTGGGACCAAACGATTTGAACAACTTCCAGTCGTGTAGGTCCTTGAAAGGGCAAGGAAAGGGTTGTGGGGGCAACTCTGGCCGCCTTGGCAGCCGGCCATCCTCCCAATCCCCAGCCAGCAGGCCTGACAAATCGGTTTGCACAAACTCCTTGCACGCTTCCAAGATGCTTTCGACCTGCCGTTCACTCTCGTCACTCTTCTTCAAGTCTGCAGTACCGAGTCGCAAAAAGAACAGCCCAGTCTTCTGCATCTTCTTTGCGTTGGCACTTGAGCCCTCAAGTGATGGCAGCAGCGATGACGCAAAGTCCCTGACCGTTAACCAGCGACCTCCAGAGACATTGAGGGCCAGGTATGCGCTCACATGGCTTCCCACCACGTTGATGTTGACAATGGGCCACTCGGTGCGCTTCCGGTCCGTCAGCGGCGCGGAGCTTCTGCTCTCATACCGTGTTGCAATGGCTCCCAGTCGCATGAGCTCATTGGCAACCTGTCCTCCATATTGATCAAACGGCTGAGCCTCCTTCTTGCACTCACCCATGACAACAACGTGGTGGTTGCGGTCAAAGCCCGCCCAATCAACATGGGTGTTTTTGGCGCCGATGGCGTACTGATGGACAAAGTTCAGGCCAAAGTGCTCCTGCAGCACGATGGTCAGTCGCGAAGAAATGCTGTTCTCTTGCTGGAGGTCAGGCAGTGAGGTATCATCCGGAGCATTGACCGCTCACAGCAGTTCTTGAGTCAGCTTCTTGTTGCCCTGTCACGTCTTGTCGGCATAAAGGTCGTCGATGTGCTTGACAATTTTTGCTGCATAGTAGTGGTGGCTGCAGGGAAGCTCTGCAACGGCGCATTCAAGGTGTTGATTTGCAGCTTTTAAAGACGGGGTTTGTGAGGGTGCCTTTAATGGCATTGCACCATCATCTGCTTCGTTTTTTTGCCACTTAATGCCTGCGCACACGTGCAGTCACGGCCAGGTGAGTGTTGGCGCGCGCACCAAGACAATGGCCAAGAATAGACCTGGGTGGGTGACACACAACGATACACGTGAACAATCACAAACACACACCTTCAATGGGGAAAGACTTCATCTTCTCGGGTGAGATGTCCTCCTTGATCCACTGGACGACGTAATGCTCAAACTCATTGTCATTGAATGACATCATCTTTTCTCGAAGGGCCAGGGTGTTCTCTGCCGTGAGACCACAGAATCTTTTCTCCAATATGTCAATCTAGGGATAGCAAACCAAGCAAAATGAGGAGGCAGCGCTTGCTTTCCGCATCACACCGAGGCAGAGCACGACAAACCTTTTCACTGCACACTGCCCGTCTCTTCTCCGTGGCTGCCTTTTGCTCTGCCTTTTCCTCCCGCTCGCGCTTGTCAGCCAGATCTAATTTGTGCAATCTGACTTGCAGCTCGATTTGTATGAGAGCTTCCTCGGAAAGCTGTGCATTGCCCGGGTCATTTGCCATGATTGGGGTGCCAAAGAGCCAAGCAGGCTTCCAAGGGGGAAAGAAAAAAAAAGTGATCAGCTCAAGGCAGGGGAAAAAAAAAAAGTGATCAGATCAGGCAGTGAAACAAAAACATGAGAGAAGGAAAATGCATGTCGACAAATCCTTCCCGCCATTTCCAACGGTATACGCTATAATTAGAAGATGATGAGGAGAGTTTTGAGAGAGAGAGAGAGAGAGAGAGGGTTTTGAGAGAGTTTTGAGAGAGAGTTTTGAGAGAGAGAGATCGAGAGAGAGAGAGAGAGAGAGAGAGAGAGATTCATCTCTTGTCATGTTCTGTTCAGTTTTGTGATGCGGTGCGGGAAAAGGGGCTGATCAAGCAGAATAGGCGTTGTATGATTGCTGAAGAGGCGCACAGGCTGTGCTCTTGTTTGTAGAGTCTTTGCCCTGCCTGCTTGTCGGGGCAGGTGCGGCTAGTGAGATCTACTTGGCTTTCTTGTTCTCGAGCTGCGCTGCATCCTGATTTTGATCTTCATCTGCACCAATGTCATCGTTGGCAAAGTCACCACGGGAGATGCCGCTCAACTCAAAGTCACGCTCAATCATGTCCTGGGACAAGTGCAAGCCAACGAGCAGCATGGCATGGCATGAGGGTGGCGCCTTTGTGCAAAGACAGCGAGCAAGGCGGTTACAGCCGTTGGTCGATACACGGTCAGGGATGAAGAAGGTTCAACGCACTGAAGCAAAGCGGCACGAGTAGACGCGCCCATTGACAAGGCGAGGTCGGCGTCGAATTTCTTTTCCATTCTTGAATAGGATCAGCGTTGGCAGCTGTTTTGACATGGCGTCAGTGTTGACGTTGTACTGCGTGGCCACAACAGGGAAACGACCCACATCCAGCTTTAAGAAGCGCAAATGGTCACGAGAATATCTAGATATGAAAAAAAAAAAAAAAAAACGGTCTGAGCTCAAAAGGTGCATATTTTACATAAGTCTGCGTACGAGGTGCTTGACCGAGGCACATACGAATCAGCAAGCTCCGCATATTCGCGAGCCAACAGGTTGCAAGGTGGGCTCCACGAGGCCGAGAGCATCAGCAAAACGTAAGTGTTGGCCACCTTTGGTGCACGCTCTTGCAAAATGTTCTATTTGCGCACAAAGGGCAGGCCGAACACCAGGTCAGACATGATTTTTGAACACCGGCCGAGGCACCAAGCCACGGTCGATTGGGCAAGTGGCGCCAGGCAAGACGGCTCAAAGGGGAGGTCTCATTACCTCCAATCGTCCAGGATTGACCACGGTCACCGCGTGCTGCTGACCCAGCGTGGGCGAGGGAAACAAAATGTACATGACTAGGCGATGACAGAACAGCGCGCGATGACACAGGTACAAGGGTGAGCGGGCCAAGAACAAGGGTGGATAATGCTTGCTTGCCCAGGGTCAGGTGGAGCATGCTACTGACTAGTGCAAGCGGCACCGTAGAGGACAAAGTGCACTACGCTTTGCTGGAAGAAGAGATAGGCCGTGGTGACCTTGAAAAAGAGGAAGCTTGTGTCGATCATAGCATCAGTGGACCCTAGAGGAATGCTTGAAGGTAAGAGTTGGCTATAAGACAACACAGCTGCATGACGAGACTCTCACGGCCCAAAGAACAGCCTACCAGCACGCCGGGACTTGATAGCAAGGACCACGCCAAGAATCGAAAGCGTTTGCATCTCGTTCTACATGACCCGAGCGCAGCAGTACGTGAGACACACTGGGCCAGCACTTTGATTGCACGCCTCCACCACAACCTCTTATCACAGCACCACTACGCAGGAGGGAGCGCGCTGAGAGGAGGCATGCTGACAAGCGCCCTGTTAGGCGTCATACCGCATCGAGATGTCCACCCTCGAGCTCAAAGACCGTCATGGAGAGCGGCGTGAGTCGCAGCACAATGTAGATGAGGCTGAGAAAGAGATTGCCCACGTGGTACGGCTGCAGATAACGCTCACGGATCCGCGTCATCATGGATGACCGCGTCGCCACGGTCGGAGCCCCCGAGTCCGCCATGCTGCTCAATCAAACGTCGTGCGTCGTGGCCCCTTTTCCTCCTAACACCTCCACTACCAAAAACTGCGCGCCAGCCCGAACTGTTCAAAAAAAAAAAAAAAAAACGTGTCTGATGCGGAAAGTATTTTACTTTTTCTTCACTTGGAGTGCAAAAATTTCGTGTGTGTGTGTGTGTGTGTGTGTGTGTGTGTGTGTGTGTGTGTGTGTGTGTGTGTGTGTGTGTGTGTGTGTGTGTGTGTGTGTGTGTGTGTGTGTGTGTGTGTGTGTGTGTGTATTTGGCGCAATTTTTTTTTTTTTTTTGGGGGGGGCGCGAACTCCACTGAACTGGCTGACAGGTTCTCTGCGTGACGGCGATAAATAATTATTCTCATCAGATTCTTATTCCATCTGGAAGGACGTGGCAAAGCCACGAGAAAGGGGAGGGGGCGATTATACATTGCACTTGTGGCAGGCTTGACGAGGGGGGGCTGGCTCAGGGTTGAGTCGGGATGAGCTTGTGGCGGCCAGCACCCACCACGGCAACCCAGCTGTGGCGATAGGCTGTGCCCTACCAGTGACGGTAGAAGCGCATATATCAGCGTGCTTGGCAGCAGGGCCAGACAGTCGCGATGGATACGCGGGAGGATCGTGCTGATGCTTCAGCCACATCTACTACAGCAACAACCGTCAGCGCATCCTCGTTTTGTCAACAAATCTCACCTGAGGAGTATGCACGCCAGAGTCAAGAATACACGCGCAATGCCATTGAGGCTTTGAAGCAGAGCTCCGAGTACATGGCCTACCTGTATCGCTGCCATCACTGTGGTAGCGTCTGGTACCATGGCCAGTACAACCCCGGCTGTGTCCAGTGTGGGGATGGTGCCATGATTCGCCCCTGCCCCATCTGTAACAGCCGCTGTGGTGCGTGTACACCCCATGATCTTGTTCGCCTTTGACGCGTCGTCTGCCACATGAGATTTTGGTGTTTTGGCTTGCGTCCTCTAACATGCCGTGTCACCCCTCTATCGCTTGTCGCTCTTGCGGATAGGGGCTGTATTCACCCGTGATGCCGAAATGTCCCACTCGTTTAACAAGGCACACTGGAACGGCAATTGTCGTCTCCCACGAGAAGAGCAGTTTCGGTTGCTGCTCCCCTCCATGGATGAGCTGTGCGCAGAGCTCGACGACACCGTGTGAATCATCTTTAACTCAACCCCTTTCTTTGTCTTGACCAGCTCGGTTGGGACGTTCTGACCATTCTATTCTTTTCTCATTGCCGTCTATGCGCGTGTTATCAAGGCCACAAAAAGGCACGCGAGACTGGCTTGCGCAGGCCTTATTCGAGCCCTATTATGATCTCTGTCCATTAAATTTGGTTTCAAGTTTGTTTATATGTATCATCAAGTCAAGGTGCCTCGGTACATAGCTGCGGCCGAGTCACTGTGGACGAAACGCTTGGCGAATCTGCTCGATGAGCGTGAATGCCAGCAAGAAGTGCGGGCCGGCGCGCAAATAATGCGCCCAAAAGCCCTTATAAAACGCTAGCGGCGACTCATGCCGAATCATCTTGACTGCTGCATCCCAGCCCGAGGCATAGAGACGCCGCCCCTGACCACCCTCACCGCCCTGATTGTACAGGCGCGAGCGCACCACGTCAACCGGGTTGCAGGCGACGCAGGTGGCGAATCCAGCGACCAGGCCTGACAACATGTGTGCCGGGATGGCGTTTTGCCAACCGTGCCTCAGCAATGCCTCCTTGGTGAGGGTGTAGGCCGGTAGGTTGGCAGAGGTGGAAAGGGCACTGCGTGCCGCATTGACGTGGCAACCCGACCAGAGCTTGTACCACTTGCTCCAGTCTGAGGCACCGGTTTGGCGACAAGCCTCGCCAAGCGTGGCACTCTTGCCAGCCTGAATTCGTGTTTTGATCTACACAGGTCAGATTGGGGTGAGTACGCCGCGGCAGCGAGGGCATTGGACCCCATGCAGAGGCGGCTCACCAAGTCCAAAGGATTGCAGATGTAGGCGCTGATCGAGCCCGAGCAAGCGCCTGCCAGTAACCTCTTCCACACAGCCACTTGTGTCCTATAGCCAACATGCCAAGCAACGTGTGAGTGGCGCTTGCATCGATGCATGAGCGCACGCCGGTTTGCGCGAGGCGCGCGTGTGTGTGGCATTTGTTTGTTTATCGCGAAAAATGGCTTGAAGAGAGCAATCAAATCGACTATCTAATGCATACAACATATGCCAAACCTGGGACTCAAGACAAAGGCTCAGAGAGATGATTGCTTCAAACCCCCCCCCAGCTTTGAAACGCACCGACTCTCTTCACCACGCAAAAAATCCAGAATCGGTTGATAGCAGCCAATGCGGAAAAGGTTTTTGCTTCCCTCGCGCAACATGCTCGCATGCACACCAGCCTGCAAGGCTGGTCTCGGCCACAGCGCCAGGAGATGAAGTGAGGGCAGTCGAGAAGAACACAAAATCACGGCGGCGATGAATTGTCTTACCCGTCCAGCCGCCGGCGCCACGGATGGCCAGGAGCGTGGCTACAAAGTGTTGACCTGCGTTCACCGTCGCGGCGCATCTATATGTCAGTTATAAAAAACGAGTTTTGCGTCTCAAGCCAGGTCACGCATCAAGACACAAATTTGCCAGCTCCTCCTGGAGCATAAAACAGTCAAGCCGACGGCTTACCACGTTGCCTTGATAGCTCGCCCGCCATTTGCTGATTGACCTGATACGGCAAAGGCACGGGCCAGTTCAACCATTACAATACTCTGAGCGCTGGCCAGTGCACATGGCAGCTGCGGCGTTGCTCTGACAGACCTTGACGACCTCAATGGGATTCGTAATTACGGCGGTGAGAGCCGGTCCCAGGGAGGAAGCGATAAAATTGACACTATAAGGTACATCAACGGCCCCAGGGCCATCAACACTGACTGCCATCAGCCGCCGCTGCGGAACCTTCTGCGATGACCATGTCATGACCCTTATTTTTTTTTTTTTCGAAAAGCAAAAAAAAAAATGAAATTTCCGCCAATTTGAGATGCAAAGTTGAGTTTTTTCGATTTTATTTATTATGAACGATGAACTGCTGAGGGCTCGACTCACTGGCGACTGGGACGAGTGGGATGGGGGTTCAGAGAACAGTTGCTGCTTCGAATATTTGGCGTGAAACGATCCACGATTATTGCGCAATAATTTGAAGAACCTGGTGCTGGACAGCTTGAAGCAGGGCGAACAAGAGCGCAACTTCATCACGAGCGCCAGTCGGAAACGTCTCGTCATCTTGATCCTTGCTCTTGGTTTGTGCAAGAGCCAACAGTTCGCCGAGCGTTGTTGTGCCATCACCCAGCGCAATGATGGCTAACCAGGCACCCCGATAATGGGACGGGATCGCCACACGCTGGAAAAAGAGTGTAGAGGTAGTAGTCACGTGAATAGTTGTGCCGATACGCACATGTCCCTGCTTCCACCTTTGCCTCTGTCTTGCTTATCCATTTTCCAGTTGGGATCCGATTCCATCGCCTGGTCTCTTTCCTTTGAGTATAATGGAAGCAATGTAGAACAGTAAATTGAACTTACCACGTGCTCGCCTTGCAAAATGACGAGTCCAGCCTCTTTATCTTGCTCCAAGCGCAGCATGTTGACCTCTGACGCGGGCACACGGACTTGTGTTGTTGGTCGGGGAAGCGTGGCTGGCGGAGAGGAGTACAGGGCTGTCGAACAAGTCACGACCCATTAGCCAGTTGCTACAGAATGGTTGCCAGGTGTGGATTGTATGATCCTTGCACTCGATGGCACGTACGTTCGGCCGCGCCTTTGGCTAGTAGGCTTTCTGTGTAGTCTTGGAAGACGGCTGCCTTGGTCGCGCATCGGGTGAGGAGCGCCAGCTGATGCCCCAGACTCCATTCCAGCTACACCAGATCACACAGCGGCTGCCCTGAGTTTGAGACGCACAGGCTGACAACTATAGCAAGAGAGAGAGAGAGAGAGAAAAGGAAGACAGCGCCGTTCAAAAGCACCCACCTTTTGTCCAATACCCGTCTCCACTGCGCTAATGCGTGCCGCTAGTTGGGTCGCCACCCAATCAACGAGTGCGCCCTTGCTGCAGTTGGTCTCGCGGTGTATGTAGTTGCACGCGGCAGCGTGAGCCGTTTCGGGCAACCGATCCTCGAGGATGCGGTAGAAAAAGGGAAGGCTCGCTCGCCAAACACCCTGGTTCGGCTCGTTGACTAGCTTCTCCAGTTGTGGCATCATATCTGGGCGGTTGCCTTGCTCCAGCATGCAGAGGAGAGCATCGGACCACTCTAGGTTCATGACCTAAATAGGGCATGTAGCAAGGTAAGAATATCACTGTCGAGAAGAAGCGCAAACACTCAGCTGCCCGCGACGATCAGAGAGGCATGGCCACTGACCGGGGAGATGGTGTAATGCAAAGAGTGCGCGTCGTCGAGGCTCTTGGCGTAGTGTATACTGCCCCGCGGGACAGTAAGCAGGCTGCCCGCATGGAGGGGCCCCTGATATAAGACCTCTTGCTGGAACTTGGCTGGACTCTGTTGTTGTGGTCGACCCATGGTCTAGATGGGCGTGGAATGGTATCCTTGTCAAAACCATCATGCTGTCTGCCGACTTGGTGTTTGTGATGAAGGGGTACGAACCTGGTAGCGGAGCGGATTGCGAAAATCTGAGGCCCAGAGCGCCCACTGTTTCGCGCCAGCCACCTGCAAAATCAAGCCATCTTTGTTGTCCGTGTGGCTCGTAAAGCCCTGGCTACCGCTCGGTGTCAGATACATGTTGACCATATAGTGCAAGCCCGTGTCCTGATGCATGCCTTGTAAAAGCCTGTGGGAGATTGGTGATGCAAAGGCGTGAAAAAGCTGGTGCACAACCACCACCACCACAACAACTAAAGGGGCGAGGAAAGAAAATGCGATGGCAGCCATGACTGCACGGGGGTGGGGAGCATGTCGCAGGTTGCACATTGGTCTTGTGAGAGCCGCGGCGTGTGCTTTCAAACATACCGAGCCAAGGGCGGCCAGTAGGCGGCCACCAGGTGGCACACTACGGTGCAGCCGTCCAGGTAGGCGGCGAACACGTTGGGATAGTTTTGGTTGCGGTCTGCCATGCCTTCTTTATACTGTCACAGGGAGGGGGTCACAGCCAGCTCGATGAAGCCCAAAAGATTCGATGCTTGAACGCAGAGGCCAACACGGGATTGACGGCTCGAAGCAAACGTACCCAAGAGCAGCCTGCCTGCGAGACGCCTGGCTTTGAGGGATGCATCAAGTCTTCGCGTTTATGCCGGCGATGCTGCAGATCTATTCAAAGCCACATCGCCATGTTTCTGAGCGCCGCTGGAGTGGTGCGGGTGGCAAGCTTATTGACCCCTACCAAGTATGTGGAGAACTTCAAAGGCAGTGCTTGAATTGAGGGGCTTCAGGAAGGTTTCTGGGTAGGAAGCCAGCAAGACGCGTTGCTCCACAACATCGCGCCAATACACAGGAACCGGCATCTCAGTTGGCAGCAAGCCCGTCAGGTCTGTGCGGCATTTTGTTCCTGTGAGCTAGTGGCTCAGACAGAGCCTCGGTGCTGATGGCAGCCCATGTCAAGTCTTGTACCAACCCAGTGTCTGCAAAGTCGAGCCATTAAGCTCATGAACAAGTTTTGTTGCTTGCCACATACGGTCCTCCTAGGTAAGTGTTTGCCAGAGGAAAAATCAACATTTGTGCCTGCGTCGCTCCTTGAGATGGGGGAGAGGTCCTCACCTCAACTGCTTGGTCGCGTGTTGTGGGCCACAGGATCGCAAGGGCCAGAGTAAGAATAAAAGCCAAAACACCCAGAGGCCACGTGAATGTGATGCCACTCGTCTTCTTTGCCGTGCTCCTGGCCCCACGGGTGACCCCTTGCCGACCACGCCCGGCTGCCCCGCCCACAGCACTGCCCGCCGCCATTTTGACGGAAAAAAAAGACAGCGAGAGAGAGAGAGAAAGTGAGGGAGAGAGAGATTTCAAGTGACTGCTTTTGACACTTTTGCTGACATTTAGGTTGTCAGCATGACAGTGCAAGCGCATTCGCAGAGGACGGCCGGGCTCGGGCTGCTGCTGCTGCTACTGCTGCAGGGCGGCGGGGGCAAAGCCAGTGTGATCAAGTCCTGGAGGGGCTTTGGTCCCTTTCCTGGTGCGTGATGGAATGTCCAGTTGTTATGATGGGTTCACGGATCAGACAAAGCGAATCAGGTTGGATCTCACGAGCGCAGCGATCAATGCTTGATTGCTGCATCGCTGAGTCAATTGCGTGTTTGAACCGTCTCGCACTGATACGGATGCATGCCAATAGTGGGTAAGACGGAATATGACGCAGACCCGTTGCTGGCTCAGCTGCCAATACATGAAGCTACCAAAAACAGCTCCTTGCGACTGATCAGCGAGACTAGCTCGGACGGCTTCGTGGGCTGGCAACCCTTTAGGGCTGCCAACGATCAAGGATGGGTGCAGGTCCAGTTCCCCAACGTCAATTACAATCACGTGGTCCAAGCGCTCAACAGTATCACGGCCATCGAATTTCAAGCTTGGTTTTATGCCTCCTTCAAGGTGCACCCCCCTCACTGGTTCGCCACTGAACGATCGCGTGCAAGCGCCCACCTATGGTCTTTGTGCAGGTGCCTTCAGCTCGCACCTACTATGTCCGATGCCAGGGCGTGCACAATTTTGAAATTGCCCCTGCCCACGAGCCAGCGGTCTGTGTTGCCATCCATCCCAAGGTGATCGCGCAATTCTTGTTCATACTCATCATTGTTTGAGCCGGCAGACGCGGTTCCATCATGGCGACATCTACTCCAATCTGGACTTATGGACGCCGCTATCACTGAACACTGGAACATACCACTTGCGTTTCCGCCTTCGAGGACGCGGATCTGCCCAGTTTCGCTGCGAACTTCGCTCCAGTGCGTCATTATAACAGTCCGGCAGACAAGGGCATATTGACAGCCGCGCGCCCATGTGGTTCTTGCGCCCGTGGGGTGTTTCGTATCATGTTAATAGCATCGCTGTGCAACCATTTGGTGGCATCTCATTCATGGTTTGCGTCCGGCTCTTGACCTAGCAAGGTCTCCCATCCCTACTCCTCTCTCCAACGCCGGTACGAGAATATACATGACATAACACGACGGTGGACTTTAGGCTGGATGGTCCCAACCGGTTACGGGCCAAAACTGATTGCCAAATTCATCCTTGCCAGGTTCTTCCTGATGTGCACAACGGGGTATTGGTCACGCCCGTTATTGGGGTTGACGTTCGCAATTACGGGTCGCACAGCCAAGTGGTACTGCTGCGCGTCACGTCTGCCCGCCACATGCATCAGTCTATTGCCCACACCAGTGCTGCCCTGTCCTTGCCATGTTACGTGGCTCCTGGCCAGGTCAGATACGCTTCCTTTCGATTTGGCTCGTACCTGCACACAGCAGCATATTGCCGCCACGGCCGCCCTTGGCAGAGGCAGCCCTGAATACTGCTCATCAACCGCCTCTTTTTTTTTTCTCGTATTTGTTTTTATCACTCCCTCTGTCGTGATTATTGTAGCTGCGTCGCTGCGGCCTGCAAGTATACCTGCCAAAATTCACGCCGTCAAAACTGGGTGATGCCTGCGTGCTTCTTACGATTGAAGCCGTCGATGAGAATGGAGCATCGCTTGGAATATCGTTTGAAACAGCATTGCGCTGTCGCGGGCGGCTGCAGTCGTTCCGCTATTCCTATTTGGATCATGATTCCACGCTCGTATACGCTGCAGCCATTGCCCCCCAGGATTGCAGCACTTGTGCTGGCACAGGTGGTTGTGATTTCGAGTTGAGCTTGTCAGGTGTGGGCGTCACGTGAGTGTGCTGCAGCCATGGTTTGATGTCCCCCACTTTGACTCCCACAGAAACGCGTGTGTGCACTGCGCTATCCTCATCAAGCCTGATATTGCACTCACCAGACCGGAGGGGCAAGCCGATGCTCATAAGTACAAGGCACAGCCGACACAGGTTCGTGCTCACCAAAGTCGGTGTTTGTTGTTCGTTCTTTGACTCTGCCAACTTGTTCATCCGCTCCCCTCAGAAGCATGTGCTTGATCTCGCAGGCAGACTATTCGTTTGGCTACAGCGACCGTTGGGTCATCTGCCCCGAGCGCCCCCACGCCCATAACTGGGAAGGCATGGGCTTCCAAACTGCCACTTATGCGCCTGTGATGGCTGCAGTACGTTGCTGCAACATATAGGCCTCTGCCGACCCGGCGCATCATCCATTATCCTTTGGTTAGTTGGCACGACATTGGGCTTAGGCTTCATGTCCTTCTCTTGCGATGCGTGGTGTTTTAGAGAGTGCTTCAGCACCTGGAACCGAGCTGTCAACTTCATCTGGATACGCCTGCAATCATCACTGGCCATTCTCGAGGTGTGGTGGTTCCTGCTCAGCCTGGTCTGGCTATCAAGGTGAAGTATCCTCTCACATCAGGATGGTACATGTTGAGACCACAGGAGGCCATGGTGCTCTGGTGTATGCGACCCATCACCCGGACCGCGTCGCAGGAGTTGTCTCAGGTTCAGGCTGGTTTCGTCGCGAGTACTACGGGGATGCAAATGTGATTTTTCAGCACGACATTCAGCTCGATCTGATGGATTCCAGCACCAAGAGCGTGCTGGAAACAGCGATTGCTGAACACGATTGCACAAAGTCCGCCATGAATATGGCTGGCAAGCCAATCTTGATTAGGCATGGGAGCCATGATCGCACGGTGCCGGTGTGGCTTGGTCGACGGTATGCACGCCTATTGCAGCATCTGCGGCTCAATGTGACATACCAGGAATTCGAGGGCCAGGACCACTGGTGGTGGGACTCTAGCTTGCCGAACGATGGCGGCGTGGTTTTTGACCCCACTGTGCGAACGTTTGTGCAAACGGCCGCTGAGTGGCGGCATCGCGTTCGTCCAGCACAATTTGACGTTGCAAGTCTGAACCCTGCCACCTTCAGTGGTCTCTATGGCGTGCGCATCCTGAATCCGCGTCGCACTGGCCGGTGTGTTGCTGCACACTATCGTCGTGGCGATCGTTCTCGTCCAGGCATCGGCTCTGATGCCACACACTTGCTTGCTTGTGGTTTTGTGGTCTCCATGTCTAGCGCGGCACACATTCGAGTGTCGGAAGGACCCGCAAAATGCAGCTTCACGCTTGAGGCTCGTAATGTATTTGCATTTGAAATAAGCGCTAAGGTTGGGCTCTGATGACATTTCCAGCCCCGCCGCTGATTGCCTTTGTACTTGATCCTGACGATGAGGCTGCGCATCCATAACATGCGCACTGCAGGCTCTGCTATCACTTGGTCGCGCCTGTTCAACAGTCAGGCTGGAGCTTGAAGGGCATGGCTTTGAGACGAGCAGTTTTCCTTTCATCCTGCGACGCACTGCCTTTGGGCAGTTTGCCGCGGAAGAAACTGCCGCAGAGTCAGACGCCAGCAAGGTCGCAGACATCCTTCCTCGGCGCGCTGCTGGTGCCTACGGGCCGGCTCGTCAGGTAACGCTTTCGCCACTGGTCTGTTGATCTCAGAGATCATCTTGATACCAGCAGGATCATGACTGCTCATTCAGATCCGCTTGCTGCTGCTTGTGGAGCGAAGGTGTTTGCTCGAGCAACATGCGTTGTGCAACCAAGCGACGGCTCGCTGCAGCATCTGGCCGTGTACATCGCCAATTCCCACGCCGTAGGCGCGGGCACGGCCATGTCTATTTTATTGGACAGCATATCACCCGATGAAGCCCAACAATCTTATGGGTGTTCTAATTTCGTGCTGTTGGACGTGGCCCGATGCAATCGTTGGGTACAAGAGCTAGTGCCGCAAGCCCACGTCGACTTTCCAGGGAACTCCAGTGACGGCATCGTCTTTTACGGCCAACCTGTGGGCCAATATAGCTCCTCAGTGGGCCTCATGGCCTTGCAGCCCGGTCTTGGAGACGATGGTCTCTTCCTGTTGGTATCAGGTTTGTACGCACTGCTGCTTGGGCCTCAACATGATCCGGTTTGTTGGACCCAGACGGCCCTCATCTGCCCTTGCACACACCAACCCATGTACAACCCTCCTGCAGGCACGAGCTCAGCAGCAACAGGTGTTCTGTGCCGCCAGTCGTTTTCGTCGCAGGCTGCGCTCACTCGTCAAGTCTTCACCAACATGCTTCCCGACTATGTGCTCATCGATTCAGAACGCTTCAGAGGGGATGGCTTTGGCGCCGTGCTTGACATGGGCTATTTCGACTATCACTGGCAACCTCAGCGTGAAGTTGCTGCTTGAAATAAGAACCCAAAGCGAGTGTACCTGATTGACGGCAGGACGGCACGCAGCTCGATCTGCTTTGTTGACACCATCGTCTCAAACCTTTGTTCAAAATTTCTTCTTTAATTCACTTGTTGAACGCAAACTCACAACAGGAATACTTATGGAGATACAGAAGACGTGGGAGCTAGGACATGCATTTAATTAAGTCGCTTGCGTGCACACGTGCGCACTCCCCCCCTCTCGTTCTCTGCCTTCTATCGGCTTGGAGGCATGCACAGCATGCCGTCTCAAGTGAGACAATGATTTTGGTCATCGCAAGTCACAGTCAGGCCAGCATAATCTAGACAATCAGATGCTAATGTTGGGATCAGTGCGTGGAGCAGCGTCCGCATGCGACGGCGCAAAAACAGGCGATAACAGAGGTTGCATAGAACGCCGATCTGGTCTGCGTGGGGTGCCTTGCTCCTTAGCGTCAATAGCGGTATCGGGGTTGAGCCGCGTAAAGCTCAAAACTGAGCTCGCTGTCCAAGAGTCAGGCACCAGCAAAAAGTAGCGATGCATAGCCTCGATGAAGCGGCGTCGATAGTTGCCTGTGTGGACACACATAGCGGTCAGTGCGCACTCTTTGCCTTGCAAGCACGCCGAGCGGAGCTGACTGACGCGGCGAAATAACGGTAGGCATGTTGCCTGTGCCACCGAGCAGGCCACTCGACTTGATCCACATCTCCAAGCGTTTATCCAATGTGAACGTGCGAATGTAGTCAATGATACCAACCACCAGCTCCTGGCAAGCCCACAATCACATCAAATGAGTAGAAGAGTGGGCAAGCAGAAGACAAAGAAAGAAAAAAAAAAAAAAAGCCATTTTCTCAGACAGATCACAGACCCTTGGTCACCAGCAGGGAAAGAAAGGCGCAAATGTTTCACGGGGTCAAGTACGGTGCACCGGACCATATGACCATACCTGACGCTGTTCATCAACGCCGACGAGGAGAGAATAGTCCATGATATTGAGGTTGGATAGAAACCGCGCATCATTTTCAATCGCTTTTCCAAGCACCGCCTGGCCCAAACCGGGAGTGCAAGGGTGAGGCACGGTCATACAAAAAGTTGCAGTGCCGTACAAGCCGAGGATCAAGTTGTCAAAAATAGTGTTGGCATGGAGGCAAAGACGCTGCACCAACCTTGCTGTGGGGGCGAATGTACAAAGGGGACTGTGCAATTTTCTCCACCAGATTTTCGTCCAACATCACGTAGTCGCTGGCTCCCGCGTGTCGGTTGCGCATGGAGCCCTTCAGATCATAAATGTGGGCAATTTGACGGTCAAAGAACAGGTTGTCCATGATAAACACTGTTTGTTTCATGGTCTTGCGTGTAGATCGGGCAGAGTTCTGATAGCCAATGCGATACACGCCCACAATCTTGGCAAGCAAAGACGGCTTATTGTGCATGTAAGCATCACGCATGTATTGAAAGTAGTGGGGCAGAAACTGTTCCACGGAGCGTGCTTCTGAAGGCGACAGCTGTTTGAGAATAAATCGATCGTCCGTCATCTTGCAAAAGTCGGCTCCTGAGCGCCCCCCGCGCGCATCCCACTTGATACAGCTGTTTGCAAACAGGGTTAATTGTCAAATATTTGATCCAGAAAAACCAAGCCGATCAAGCCCCCACTCCTTGCACCCAACGCAAAACCCATTGGCAACTAGCATAGCAGTGAGGAGGCAGCACGACTCGAATCTATTACCGTGAAAGGGAGTGGATGAATTCGCGCTCAATCTCGTCGTCACTGCGATCATCCTTGATGACCATGCGCCGCATGTCGCGAAACTCGCGGGCATACCAAACCTACAGAGACAGCGCAATCATGAGAGCGGGATGGGTCGAAGCCTTGCGAACAGAGTCGATGTCAAGTCGGCACAAACGGTCTGGGGATCACCGACCTCGCAGTAAAAGTCAGTGGCCTGATCGGAAAAATTGTGGCAATAGTGAGGTTGCTCAGTGCGAATTGCTTCCTGAGTTGTCTGGGCCGACGGGCGGGCGGCGCTGTTGGTTGGAGGCTTGGACGGCGCGACGTGGGCGGGATAAGATGCTGCCTCGGCCGTTTCAATGGCGGGTGCCGCGAGATAGTTGGCGCTGGCTGTTCGAGCCGCCGAAGCCTACAGTGAACAGACATGGGTGTTAAGATAGTCTTGGTCGGTTGTGTGACAACAGAGGCGGCGGGTTGCCAGGGGTGCAACGGTTCATGCTTCACGAGGAGCGTACAATGTGGTCTTCTTCTTGCACGCGGTGATCCCTTTCGCGAACAAACTGTAGATATGGCTCGGAGCTGAGCGTAAAGGCAATCAAGCTGCTGGGCTCGTCCTCGTATACCGTCACGCCAAAGTTTTTGGAGGTTGGGTGCATGGGATGCTCTGTATTGGGCAGCGGAACCTGTCGAAATGGGCAAGGGGGTGTGAGTGTAAGAAGTTTTCCAAATGGCAGGGGTCGTTGCGCCAAACAGCAAAAAGCAGGCAGCAAGGAGGAGGCGGGTCTGAAGCCGACCCACCGGAATGTCACGGATAGGTCCGTTGGAAGGGAAGAGGTGTGCAATCTTTTTCAAGTAGCTACTGTCCTTGGCTTGGGTATCAAGCAATTGAGGTGGATCGTCTATGCATGTGCGTTGGGGCAGCATGAGCCACGGGACATCACATGTGCCACGTCGCGAAGAACGAGCGTGTGCTTTCGAGCAACAACTAACCTTCGGCATCCTCACGACTTGTCGGGCTACCAGTGCCGCTTTCGTGGCGGGTCACAGCTGGTGAAGTCAAAGTGGAAGCATTTGCCGACTGAAGCGCAGCAGAGTCGGGCAAGTTGAGCCCTGCCGAAGAAGAGGCACTTGCCAACGTTCGAGGCGATGGCGACGGCGAAGGGAGGGCAGCTGCATCCTTCTTATTCTTGGGCCTCGTCAAGGACAGCAACATATCCTACCAGGTGCGGGCATGAACAAGAGACAATGGGGCCGGGGTGCGAGGTGGGCTTAAATAATAATTAAAAACAAACAAACAAACAACAAACAAAAAAAGAAAAAAAAAAAGAAAAAGAAAATTACTCGAGACGAAGAGGCAAGAAAGCAAACCTTGAAGGCGGCATTGAGACGGTCAGTGGCATTGACGGTGGCACGTGAAACCTGAAACGACGTGCGCTCCAGCCTAAGCCACGGCGATTTACGGGAAGGCACAATTCAAGAAGAAAGCAAATGAAGTTGCATTGCCTTTGAAAGTTGACATTGGGAAACGGGTGCGATGATTCGGGCGGGGACCAAGGTGCGTACTGGGCAGTGGCATCATATGGTATAAGCTGGGTCGCTTTGGAGGAGATTGGGCCCTTCAGCAAGGCTGTTGAAAAGGCAGGATCCGTAGGGTCGGCTTCCAAAATGGATGACGATAGGTCAGGTCCGACAGGCTTGATGGGCGGTCCCTCCTCTGCCTGTGGGGTGTCATCCTCCTGAGTTGCCGCCGTTTCTGGTGTAACAGTGGCAGTTGCTTCAGCTTGCGGGGTCTGCAGGGCTTTCCATTCGTGCACGCTGCTTTCAAACGCTTCGAGTTCTTTCGTCAACGCCTACAAACAACAACATGAGCAAGTAGATTCGATGGCATGTTCGGGCCGGCGGCGGCAAAATCCAGCTTACGAAGACGTACAGCTAGTTCGTCATTAATGACGCCCTGCAAGCGAGGCAGCCGGGCTTGCAGCTGGGCCTGATGATCTGCATGCACTTTTTCCACCATGCCCAACCGTTTGCCCGCATTGGCTTTGAGATTGTCGATGGCAGCATCAAACTTTTGAATCTGATCTTCCCAATCAGCAACAAAGGAGCTGTGGCGTCAACAAGGGGATATTTAGAGCCATGGGATGCATCGCGGGTTGGTACATCCATTGAACCAAGGCAACATCAACAATATAGGGCAAGACGCCGGAGGGTCAAAACCGGAGAAACTTGAGCGACTGGCAAGCAAGGGGCTTGGTCCAGCCCGACGTGGTTGACCAACGTACCCAAGTTTGGGAATAACCAAAGCTTTTGGGGCAAACGCGACTTCCAATGGCACGATTGGCTTGCGATCAAAATATGCAATCAGGTTTCCCTGAACAAGAATATCACCAATGGCAACAACGATGAGGTTGAGTCAAGCTGCCGCAGCTACACCTCTTGTTCCTGCAACTGTCTACTGACTGCTGGCACTTACCTTGCCAAAATAGCGGAGGTGGCATTTGTAGAAGCAATGGGGACAGAGACCTTCCATGACGCGATAAGCATCCGCTAAAAATGTTAGCTCAAGATATTTGCCCAGCGACATGTGCCACGTCTATTTGTCACAGACAGAGCACAATATCGTAATCAAGAGGACGCAACTTCAGTACACGAGAAAAGGCGGGGAGCAAAAAATGGTAGCGGGCGGCCAAATGATGCAGCGTCGCACCTCGGAAGATACGAGTACAGGCGGAGTTTGCATGGAGCACTCTTCACACCAAGACCACATGAGTAACGGATTATCCCCGCCAGTCGGGTCGGGAATGGGTGTCTTGAGTCGCTCCGTCCTATCACGCCCACCGGCATTGGCGGTCGCATCGAAACAGGCAGCGAAAGATACACGACGTTGTAAGTGCCCCGCAGGAATGCATCCAAGATAGAGAGAGGGAAAAAAAAAAGGTGTGTGTGTGTGTGTGTGTGTGTGTGTGTGTGATTTGAGCAGACATACCCAACTTCAATCTGCGCATCACCGTGGACAAATGTGCGGACATGACGCTCCACTGGAAGCCCACACTGGTCATTGGGGCACACGTAATTGGGGTTGAGGCACATTTGATCGACGTAGTAACCCAGAGTCAGGTCGTTTGAACTGTAGTATTTGAGCGTCACCAATTGTGGTTCAAGACAAGACTGCTGATTTTGGTCCACGCTCAAGCTATACAGTACGTCCAAGCTCTGGTGCAGCTCGACATCAAAACAGTCATGGGCATGTAGGGGTGGCTCAGTTCCAGGCATCAACAAGGGCGACCATTGGACTACCTCAGGCAGTAACGAGAAGGCTTCACAGTGCTGGCCACGATCAGTGAAGAGGTAAGGCAGTGGAAGGGTCAAGGCTGGGGAGGTGGACAAAATTAACCCGTCAAGCAGTCGCTGGAAAAGGCGACGCCGACGCTGCCAGACGTTGTCGTCGAAAACTACATCGCGCACTGCAGTTTAAAGCGCAATCCCAGCCCATGACAAGAAAAAAAGAAAAGCAAAAGTGAGTTGGTTCATGATGTCTTCACATAAAACCACGTCCCAAAAAAAAGACGGTGACAAGCAAGCAGGCAAACAAGCAAAACAAAACAAAACGACAAATCAAGCCCACCAGCAACAACAACTTCAGTATTAACAACCAGAACAACGGTCATGCGGGCAAGCCAGCAGACATGTACAAACCACGCAACAATGGTAGCGTTTCGCTGTCACCAGCTTCGAGCAATTCCAGCTCATCGGATAGGGGTGAGGCCTGGCTGGTAGAACCAGCGGCAAAGGCGACGAGTTGCGAGCCAGATATCAAGCTTTGATCCAAGGGATCTTCATCTAAAGTAGAATCTGACCGCAGCAGGCGCGCGGGCTTGATGGAGACGGTGGCAGCGATCTGACGTTCAATAATGGCATGGACGGCATCAGGCGATGCAAAGCCCACAAATTGGTCTGCCAACAAGCGTTTCTCCAATTCAAGGTGATAGGCAGCGTAGCATAGAAACTTGAGAATGCCCTTAACGGTGGTGAGGCGCTTAATGTCGTCGAGTCCGCGCAAGATGATGGTGCAGCCAAGTTCGGCAGGGCAGCCATCAAACACGGCCAGTGTTTTGCGCTCGTCATCAGCAGCACGAAAGTATTCGATGGAGAAGTGGGAGCAGCGTCCCAGTTGACGGGCAACGTTGAGCTCCTCGATGCTATTCAGAATAGTGGCCTGGGTGCAACGCGCCAGGTAGCGCACTGCCGAGGGCTTGACGTTGATGAGCAGGGTGATGCCGGCTTGCTCCAGCAGGTCGAGGGCAATACGAGCCACGGCCTTTTGAGCAACCACAACTTGCGGTCTCATGTTGCGGATGCGCTGTACAGCGTTCTTGAGAAACTCGTGCTCCTGGCGCAAGACGGTCTCAAGGGAAGCGTACTTGGATTCACCACGCGGCGTGAACTCCAGAGGAAAGCGCAGGATCAAGATGGTTGGGTCGTGGATGTTGGTGCGCATTCTCTTGTGAGCCACATGTTTTGTGAAAATGACTCCCGAGTAGTAATGGCTGTGTCGAGGCTCACCGCCAGTCAGGCAGCGAACCTTGACATACGAGCGCACATCCAAGTCGTCGCCATTTTGTACCTGAGGACGAACGCTGGCCGCCGCCCGCATGGCCAGAGGAAGCAGGACATCGTGCCATTCTGCGCCCAGCTCATGCCATTGTAAAAGCTAAATGTTGATCCGAGGAAAAGTGGCAAAAGAAGATTAGCAAACGCGATAAGCCGGACACACGCGTCGGAAATGAGCAAGTTGGGACGCCGCCTGGCCACCAAGTACATGCCTGGGTTAAGAGGCGTTGCAAATGCGATTGGTTGCAGCGGTCAATGTCGAGCTTCGCGTCATGACGCGGCATTTTTGTTGTTGTTGAGGTTGCCTGTTGCCAGCACCAATGACTTGTAAGCAAGGACAAGGCCAACCACGCCCTCCCAGGCGTCGCTTGCACATAGCAAGCAGAACTTGAGAGCAAGAAGAAAAGAAGAATAGATCAGGAGAATGGTTCAAGCAGGGTACCGCACCTCTGTGTCACTAGGAGGCGAGCCTGGAATCTATGACAAGGTTTGATCAAGGAATCATATACATTAAGGCCAAATGAAAGAAAGGAACAAGGGAAAGAGAGCAAATGTCATGGAAGTCATTACAGCTCTTGTCAAGGCGGGACCATGCGGTAGCAGTACGTACAACATCAATGTTGGGAGGTTCAACCACGCCGATGGAGGACTGGTTTGTGCGCCGGCGAAAGGGTGTGGGTGAACCACGCGAGATACTGTTCCGATGCGCCTTCGGAGTGCTCAGGTATTGTGATTTGGTCATGGAGCTGCTCCGCGGTTCCAAGGGGGGAAGAGAGCCAGGGGAAAACGACGCATTCAAATCATCGCCGTCCTCATCAAATTCATCTTTCGATTCCTCCAAAATTTCAGCATCTGGGATGAAGGGTTGCGTCTCGATCTGCCGAAACCAGGAGGGTGCATCATCGGTCTCATCGTCCGCACTCGAAATAGTCTGTGGAGTGGACGGGTCCTGGTCGGCAAAAGTCTTGGGAGCTACGCGCATGAGCACATAGTCATCTTGAAATGTTGTGGGACCATCTTCGCGTGCCATAGTGATGAACCCAGCCTCCAGCAAACCCTGTGCAATTTCTATGGCCTGTGCCAGAGAATTCACACGCCAGGAAACAAAAATAAAGGGGGGCGGGGGGCGGGATGTGAGTGTAGGTCGTCGATGAGCATGCTTTCTCAAGCAAAGCAAAAGGCAGGCAGCGATTTGCAAAGTAGGTTAGACGGTTGAAACCATGCCCACCTGCTCGCGCTTTTGAGCAAAACGCATGGTGATCATGAGGTTGATCAGTTCGCTGGCGACGAAGGTGTTGGCGTAGCGAACCAGTTGTTCACGATGCAGCTGCAGGTGACGGAATACACCAGAAGCATGGAAGGAGATGAGCAAAATGCCACGTGGCTTTGCGCTGCATCCATGACTTGATACTCACTCGAATGTCCAGGGTGCGTTCAGCAGCAACTTGTTGCAGAAAACGTCGAGCATCCTCCAAGGGTGCATGCTAAGCGGGCGCAGAGCGACAGGGTGAGTTGATCCTTGCGGCAAGCAAAGTGTGCAGCCCAATGGATGTATTGTTGACCAACTTCGCCATGGCCATGGTTAGGTGAGGCTGAGAACAGGGAGAATGAGCTCGTTGGATGAGAAGAATGGGATGCCAGACGAGCCGGCACTGCAAGCAGAGGCGGAAGGAGCCAAGCGTCCGAAGGCCGTGTGAGAAGTAGCAGCAGAGTAAGCATGCGCAAAGCACATCGTCGCAAATGACCAAGCAATGGGATGGGCTCTCAAGGTCACCAGGTTGAGAGACTGGATGCAACCACGCAGAGCGGAATTTGTTTGACGTACGTTCAGACAGTTGGCTTTCGGAGCCTCGCATGCTCATCTTTGGACCTTCAAGAATGCTGTGTGAAATGGATTCTTCAAAGGAAGCACGATGGGCTGGGCGAGATACAATGGCAAAGCAGGTGCGGCAGCAGCGAAGCTTGCCGGCTCGGCCGACCAAGGTGCCTGGAATCTGCTCGGAGCAGCACTTGGAGCACATCACTTGACCGCAGATGCGGCAATGGTGGCGCCGGCGGACCAGATTAAAGGTGCCGCCACATTCATAACACTCTGGAGCACTTTCATCAGGCATCCAGTGTTGGCGAAATGCCTAGCAAGGAGCAAGAAACATGACATGCGGCGCGATGCAAGTTCAAGCCAGTCAAACACCAGAAGCAATTGCAAAGGCAGCGAGGAAGGGCGCGACCAAGTGCGAGAAAAGCTTGGGCGAAGACACCCAGGAAGGATGGGAACAGCGACGGCCGGACCTGTTCGGTGTCCGTCTTGACTAGGCTTGTGAATCGGTTGAGAATGGAAACGCGATCGTGGGCAGAGAAGGACGAGTAGTCGCCCGGGGCTGGCGGGGCTGCGGGACCCGGTGCAGAGGCAAGGACATTGCTTGACGCTTGAGCACCAGCCGTAAAACTGGCACGCCGTGCATCCACAGGGATGGACGCGGAGCCGGGGACCGATCCAGGAGCTGGGCCTTGGGTTGAGCCCGAGCCAGTACTGGCAGCTAAGCTGCCTTCAAGAGTGCTGGATATGGGGGTGCTGGCAGGTTGTGTCGTGGTGCGGTCTGTCGAGGTGATTTGCTGCTGCTGGGACTGAGCGGGCGGCAGGATGATGGGTTCAGGGGCTGCGGCCAAAGGAGCTGGGCCCGTCTTGTCCGCGGCTACGCCATCCTTGCTTGTGGCTGGGGCGGCTGCGGCCTCAGCTGGGGCTGCTCGCTTGGTACTGCGGCTAAAGCCCAAGAAGCTGGCCAGAGAAAAACTGTTTTCCTCTTCCGGTGGCTCTGGCGGAGGATCACCTAGCGAAACGTACTGCTCCTCCATTGCACCAGGTGTTGATGAGGCTGCAAGCGGCTAGCGGCCCGACTGGTGTGGTGGGACCTCCAGCGCCACGACCTGCTTACGGGCGCATGCCGTGGTGGGCTCGGCTGGTCGCAACCCGAATAATTGCTTTTAGGTTCCCAATCGCTCTTCGCGCTGAATCAGGCTTCCGTTTCTGGCGCCTGTTCTAGTCTCGCCGCGTGGTGGCGCTGCCGCTCAGGCGATCAATTCCGAGCCAGCCACCCGTTTCGTCCGTTGGTGTGTCACTACACAATTGCAATTGCCGCACAACACCTGTTCCCATTCTTGGTGATGATGTCAGCCTAAATTGTCATCTTTTCTCGTCCGGGACAACAAGAAGAATGCTCTGGGCAGTGAGTAGTTGTGTGTAATGTGTATCCGCTCGAGCGCAAGGCAAGGAAGCAGTCGAAGGTTTTCTTTTGTCTCTTTTGTTTAGAGCACGTAAGTGTGTGTGTGTGTGTGTGTGTGTGTCGCGCGAGCGCTGCCACCTCTCTCTGTGTGTCTCTCTCTCTCTTTTTTTTGTTTTTTTTCATCCAAGTGTTTTGTCGTCAGCGACAAGAACGACCAAGGGGGGAGGGAGGGGGCTGCAGGGATATCCAGTATTAGAACAGCTGCTCCCCATCCAGCAGGGGGAAACGTGGGCTGGGTGAGCTGCCGACCTGTGGCCCGCCCCCCGTTCCTGGACGGGCGGGTTGTGTGGTGCATTCAAATGTGCTGTCCTCTCCAACCCAAGGGCTTCCTGCCTCCTGCGCCTGGGTCCTTGGCCCCCTCCTTTTTTTTGTTGTTGTTGTTGTTGGTTTGCAGCTCATGCGTGGCCTGCCATTTCCGCAAAGGTCCGCTGCACGGTCGTCATCATCACCAAATCCGTGCTTTCCCATTGAGCTTGGTGGTCAGCTTCTTATTTGAAGTGACCGCCCATATTTGTCGTGTGCAGCACAGCTCTTGGCGGGCGTGTGACGTTCTTCTTCCATTCTTACCCCGTCCAAGTAGCCCGCCCATCTTCAGGGGTCTCTCCCTTACCTTCTCCTCAACCTGTGGATCAGGGTGAGTCAGTGAGAGAGGATGGACCGCTCACAGCGCTTATTTGGCACGCGTTTGCTCGCTGTCACCACGTCTGCCAGCTGAAGCTCAAATTGGTCGCCCTGGGGGCTTGGCAGGCATGGCCTGAATCCTGAGTTGACACAAACATCCTGGCAGCCGGCCTTGCCAGCTCGCCGACCTGACCTTTGCGCCACACACATCTCCCGACGTCCTGGCCTCGAGCGACACCATCCATCATGTCCATGGTCTTTCGCTCCCGGCGGTCCTCCATGATCCTGAAGAGGGCCGATGATATCTTCGTTGATGTGGCCGGCCCCACCAATCCGGGGAGTAACACGGGTACCCTATCACGCTACTCCAAGGAGGAGGCTGAGTCAACTGTCGATGATGACGTCGATCCTCTTGATGATCGCTACGGCGTTCGCGATCTGGCGACCCTCTCTGAACTCTCCTCAGACGTCATTGTTCAACAATTATATGCCCGGTCCGTGGCCTGGATTCTGGCCTCGGGAAAGAGAGCGCTTTTTGAGTGCTGTAATTTTTTGAGTTTCTGACCTCTCACCGGTACCTTTGTCCAATACATCCATGCTCCATGCTTCTGCCTTAGTTATGGCCGTGATCTTATTTACACGGCTGTTGGCGACATTCTTATCGCTGTCAATCCCTTTCGAGAGATTCCCCAACTTTATGGGTCAGGCACATGCGTTTCTTCTGCCATTCAACGAACATTTTCCGCTGGCAACTGACCATCCCCCACACCTCTCATTTCCTCGTCTTCCCTGTTCTCAGCGAAGAGGCAGCCAACCGCTACCTCACGACGACAGACTATCACCCCGTACCACACATTTACAGTGTTGCTCAGCGAGCCTACAAGCACTTGCTCACGTCGCACAAGGATCAGGTGTGGCGCCGGCATATCGTGTCAACACTGCACGTTGGGCCCTGCGCCACTGGTGCCATGGACAAGGCGATGCTCGCTCACGCACCGTAATGGCACCTCTTAGTGTTGTGTCATCTCTGGGGAATCCGGTGCTGGCAAAACAGAAACCGCCAAGTTACTGGTCGATCACATGCTTGCCATGTGCAAGGGCACCGGCAAGCTCGAACGTCAAATTGTTGAGGTCGGTATTTCTGTCGTGCCCGCTTGCGGCCCTGATTCAAGTTTGACGGGGTATTTAGGTTTTTTTCTTCAACCATCCTTTCATTTTTTTGCACTCGACTTTGCTTGTCTCCTTTTCGCCGACACCATAGGTCAATCCGTTGCTTGAAGCCTTTGGCAATGCGCGCACTGTCATCAACGACAACAGTTCGCGTTTTGGCAAGTTCTTGGAGATCAAGTTCGGTTACTTTGGTGATGTACGTCGTCCAGGCAATTCAAAGCTACTCGGGGGCGAGAAACGTGACGCTCGCCGATTCCTGCCGGCTTTAGCTCACCATTGCCCCCACCTTTCACCTTTTCCTTCTCCGTACCCAGGTTCTTGGGGCACATCTGGCCGAGTATCTTTTAGAAAAGTCGCGAGTGGTGCGGCAAGCCGACGGGGAGCAAAATTTTCACGTCTTTTACTATCTCTTTGCCGGCATTGACATGGAGCATCGCAACCGGCTTGGACTCACCAACATGACCGACTTTCACTATCTGCGTGGCGGCGTCAAGAATCTCACGCGCGATACCACCATCGATACCGGTTCGTGTTTTTGTCGCAAAATGAGCCATCCCCGCACCTCCAGCTAGAGCCAATCTTGCGCACCTCTCTCGAGCTATTGATTTTCCTCTCTGTCATCTCTAGATGAGGGACAGATGGCAGGCCAATATCGTACTCTTATCGCCGTAATGGAGACGGTTGGCTTCACGGCCCAGGAGATTGATGACCTTCACCAGGTTTTGGCCAGCATCCTGCACCTGGGAAACATCGAGTTTACCGAGGGGGACAGCTCCTTTGCTGAAGTGGTTCAAGATGCCCCCATTGATTTGGGTACGAAAGAACCTGTAATCGAAACCGCGTGACCATGCGTTCACCAGTTCAGCATTGTGTCTGACTGCACAGGCAGCGTTGCCCTGGTTTATAACAGCCATGCTCACCCCCTGTTTGGATGCAATGGTGCGGCTGTGTGCTTGCTACCGCTGCGTAGTGGCCAATATGCTGGGCATTCCTTCTGATGCTTGCATGGAGATGATGGTTTCAACCGTTACAGCCATGCGAGGCGAGCGCCTTCGCAAAAACTTCAATGTGGCAGAAGCTGATGAAAATCGCGATGCCCTGGCAAAGGCCATCTACGGGCGCATGTTTTCATGGATTGTGCGCAAGGCCAATACCCTTTTACGCCCTCGAGGCGCCGCCTATGAACGTGCGGCTGAGGTGCAAAATGGCATCACCCAAGTTGGCATTCTGGGTACGGCCCTCGTGTGTGTACTTAAAATGCTTGAGGCGCACATGCTGTCAAGCACCTCGTGCACCCCAAGCCATCGCCGCTGCAGCTCATGTTCATTTTTTATGCTCATGGTCAGATATTTTTGGCTTTGAGAACTTTGAACACAACAGCTTCGAGCAGTTCTGTATCAAGTGCGCCCCTGGCTCGCCCTGTGTCATTGTGCACCATAGTTCTCCTGTCTGTCGCGCATCCTCATCTGACCATCAACTCTGCACTCGACAGCGTTGCAAATGAACAGTTGCAATACTATTTCAACCAGCACATTTTTGCATCTGAACAGAGTCTATACGAGTCGGAGCGACTCAACCTGGCGAGCATCAGCTACGAGGACAACGGCCCACTGCTGGATATGATTCTAGGCCGGTGCGTGTGCATCTTGGTGCTTTCAATGACCCTGCTCCTGCCGCCTTGGCCTAATCCTTGCTCCGTGTTGCTGCAGTCCCCTGGGCTTGTTCACTCTGCTAGATGAAGAATGCCGCTTTCCACGCGCCTCGGCGAACACTCTGGTTTGATCCCTGTCCAACCGAACGATTAGTGATGACCTCAACTTGCTGATGTGGTATCTGCTCAATTCTCTCATCCCTTACATTTCAAATGTGCAGGTGAACAAGTTCAAGCAAGCACAAGAGCGAATGCAGTGGGAACAGTTTCAGCTGGTGGATGCCAGCACGCGTCGCCGACCCAGCGTGGTAATGCACCGCCAAACCTCAAAGTCGACTCTTCGCGCTAATCGAGGCGGCGGTGGTCCCTACTTCCGTATCAATCACTATGCCGGCAGCGTTGTCTGTAAGTCTGCGAAACTCGAACATGTGTCCATTTGTTGATTTTTCCTGATTTGCACGCCATGATTGTACATGCTGTACCTGCCCGGTGCAGACGATTCGTCAGAGTTTTTGGAAAAGAATCGCGACAAGATCTCGCAGCTGGTGATTGAGCGCATGCGTGCTTCAACGTTTCCGGTGCTGCGATATTTCTTTTCGGAGCGTGTTTCCAGCACCGGCTCCATCTCTGACATCACCGAATCGACACGCGGACGTGCCACCACTTATGGCCGTGACCCCAGCAAGATGTCCGTCTCAGCTCATTTCAAGGGCTCGCTCGATGACTTGATGGTTAAGATGCTGCGTGCCACGCCGCACTTCATTCGGTAAGGACCTTGCTGGTGTTGATGACTGCTTGCATACAAAAGTCGCCAAGTCTGCTTTTGATTGGTCTCTTTGTCCCTCGGCTTTCATCTGTCAGATGCATCAAGCCCAACGATGAAAAGCGACCCCGTCGCTTTGAATCGACTCGCGTGGCTCAACAGCTCAAATACACGGGCGTCCTTGAGACGACTCGCATCCGACGAGACGGCTATGCTCTTCGCCTGGAAATTCCCGAATTTTTGCAAAAGTACGAGAGGCAGTCGGCAGTTGGTCTGCTGTGGCTTGGTTTGGTGTGCATGTCTGCAGTAATGCGGTTTTTTTTTTTCGTATTTGTGGCTGCGTGTGGTGACAGGTTTCAGACGCTTGGACTGCATGGCGATGAACTTCACGCTGATTGGGAGCAAGTCGAGGATTTGCAGGAAATGCGTCGTGCTGTGAAGAAGATCATGTCCATGTGTGGCCTGCGGGGCGCTCAAACGGGCATCACGCGCGTCTTTCTCAAGTACTACCATGATGAGAAGCTGACGAGACTCCTTGAGTTGCAGAATCGGCATGCCACCTGCATCAACGCCCACGTTCGCGGCTTTTTAGCAAAAATCAAGTTGGCCAAGCTGCGTCGTCAAGAGGCGGAACGCCAGGAGCAATGTATGTTTCCTGCCTGTGTGCCGCGACGCGCCGTCGATTCATTGTCTGTGCAAGGCGCTTTACTCTCTCCCCCTCCTCATGAGCTTGTGATTCTGATTGTTGACTTGAAGTGCGTCGGGAACGGGAGGCAGCGGAGGCTGCACGGCATGAGGCCGAAGAACAGGCCAAGCTGGCGCTCAAGATGGAACGCGAGGCTACGCTAAGGCGTCAAAAGCAGCAGGCGGCAGCCGATGAAGCTCGGCAACGTGCTGAAGAAGCGGCCAAACGTGCCGCGCAACTCGAGGCCGAGCAAGAGCGTGAGCGTCAGGAGGCCGAGGCTCGAGCAAGCGCTGAAGCAGCACAGCGCGAGGCTGAATTGCGTGCAGTTCAGGCACGTGCTGCGGCCTCGGCGGATGCACAACGAGAGAGTGAAAAGCTAGCCAAACGGGAGCGCTTGCGCCAACAATACCTCGATGCCATGCGAACTGGAAACAAAGATACCATCTCGCGCGTGGGTACCTTGGGTGGAACGGTGGGCCCAAAGGTGTTGGAGCTCTTGGAACATGCCGAGGAGTATGCGCAGGAAAAGGACTACGAGAACGCGTTTGATGCAATTTTCGATGATGAGGATATTGATGTGGAAGAACGTGAGGCTTTGCGACAGGCGCAGCAGATGCGCAAGCAAGAGGAGGCTGCGCGCAAGCGACAGCTCAAGGCTGAATACGAGCTCAGGCGCGTCAAAGAGGAGGAGGAACAAATGCGCGAATTGCAACGCATCCAGGAGGCCGAAGCTGAGCGAGCTCGGCGCGAGGCTGAAGCAGTTGCCGCAGAGGCCGAGTCTGCAAAGTCACGAATGGCACAGCTTACTTTCAATTTTGCTTGGGATGATGCCCCGGCTCCTCCGCCAACGTCAGCCCCAGCCCCGGTTCCTGACCCTGTCCCTCCTGCACAGAGCGCCTCTGTGTCATCACCACCACCACCTCTTTCTCCCAAACCACAGCGTGGCAGTCCGGCCCCACCACCCGTCTCGCCCAAGCCATCACCACTCGCAGAGCGAAGATATACAACATCTGCTGCACCGCAGGTGGCACCCAAGCCAGTCAACCGGCCTCCACCGGTTGTGGAAAAGCCACGATCGGCAACCGTGTCCGCGACTTCCGACGCCGCGACCACTGCCCAAGAGCCACGGCGGCGCAAGCTCGTTCGCGGTGGCAACAAGAAGGAGGCGGCGGTCTTACCTGAGTATCAGGACGCCATCGATGCTTTGAGCGATCTCGATACCTTTCTCGATCCCCAGACACGTACTCTGCGCATCAAGCGTCGCGGGCCCTCATCAAGCGACACTGACGGACCCGATTTGGCGGCTCTAGTACTTCCGCCAGCTGGACCTCCACCGACAAAGCCTCCTCCATCAGGACCTCCGCCGACGGCACCCCCACCAACGGGACCTCCTCCTACGGGGCCCCCGCCTGTCAGTGCCAAACCCAGTGCGCCGGGGGAACCACGGCGTCGCCAGCTGGTGCGTGGCGGCAACAAAAAGGAAACTCCGGTTTTACCCGAGTATGAAGCAGCCCTTTCCTCCTTGGACGCACTGGAAAGCCATTTGAACCAGTTTGGGCAGAGCATTCGCATCAAAGCCACCCCGGCGCCAAGTGAAGTTGTTCATGCAGGCACGCCAACGGACCCACCACCACCCGCGCCGCGAAGTCGGGCCACCACTGAACCTGCCACTAGCATGGCGAGTAGCGGGGATTCAAGCACAGGCGAACCGCGCCGGCGCAAGCTTGTTCGTGGTGGGAACAAGAAAGAGACACCCGTGCTGCCAGAGTACCTCGAGGCCATGTCCTCGTTGGATGCATTGGAACAGCACCTATCAGATCATGGGCAAAGCATTCGCATCAAAGCACCCAGTCAAGCCGTTCGCGCTGCAGGGCCTAGCACCGCTGCATTGGCGTCGGAGACATCAGACACGCTTGTTGCCGAGCCTACTCGGGGCCCGCCACCTCCTCCGCCACCGCGTCAACGGGCCACCACAGAGCCGGCTTCGGCGGGCGAGCCACGGCGGCGCAAGCTGGTGCGCGGCGGCAACAAGAAAGAGACGCCAGTCTTGCCCGAGTTCAGTGAGGCTATGAGTGCGCTATCAGCTTTAGACGATGTTTTGGACTCGCAATCTGCTCGTGAGCAAGCACTTGATCGCATGGCCGCCAACATCACGGAAGCTGAGGTTGTGCAACGTCGCGAAAGTCATCGCGCGAGTCGGCGCGGCAGCGAGCAACACGTCGACCCTACTGCGCCCAACCAAAGCCTGCGCGACCTGGAAGCCACTTTACGGCAACAGGCCCCGCGCCTTGATGTGAGCCAGGCATCAACCACAGCTGACAACCGCATGTCCCACCGCACTGAATATTCCTACTTATCGACGTCACATACCTCGCGGACGTTGTCTCCCGAGGACTCTGGTTCAGGCGTTTTGGATGCGAGTCTTGAGCCATCCTCACCGGATGCGAGTTTGGCGGACTCTACTCGAGCGCAGGACCTTGCACCACCCCCCATGTTGGGCCGACACATGCGACGAGACAGCTCGGCCTTGGCGTTACCCGCAGACTTTGGCGCCAATTTAACAGAGACGCAGCGCATTGCCATCTTCAACTTGGTTCGTGCCGGCGAAATGACTGTCTCGGAAGCCCTTGAGCATGTACGTTTGATCTCGCTGCTCTCTCGCCTAGTGCAACCTGCCCCACGCAAATCATTTTGCTTTTGAGCTTTTGTTTTCCTCTCTCTGCTCACCTGATCCTGCCCTGCATACGTGACCTTTTTAGGCTGCCGAGCAGCAGCAGCGGAAAAACTGCAGCATCCAATGAGTGCTCTCCGTTTCCCGTTTTCTTTTCTGTTTTTCTTTTTGACACCCCATTGACTCGGCTTTCTTAAAAAAAGCTCTAGAAGAGGTTTGCATTGAGAGGGTCATTTTTGGCTTGCGCGCCACGTCGTTTGGCCGCTCGCTACCGCGAACTGCCTTCCCTTGCTGACATTTAATCGACATAACAAGGCACCAACGTGGCTCAGCTTGGTCTGCAAGATGCAAATCAAGTCCTGCATGGCATGCACCCTAGGTCTGCAGGTCATTTTGGCATCTTCTGAAAGGGGAATGAGTGATCAAGTGCAACTTCCTCATTTGAATCGTCGAGTTTTGGTTTTGAGTTTTTCAAATCTTGAATTCCGGGTACAAGGGTGCTCGAGTGGGCAAAGTGAAAACGCTGGCACTTTGACAAGCAAACGAAAAGGGAAAAAAACACAAGGGAGTTGCTTAGCAACTTTCGACGAGAATAGAAGAGAGGGGACATGACATCCGAGTCAGATGAACGTTGGACTTCAGATCAACAAAACTGCCCAACACAAAATCAAACAAACTGCCCAACACAAAATCGGCACAGTAGGAACCCATAAAAACGAATGAGGACAATAAAGACCGACAAAAGCCACTTTGCATGCAATCATCGATAACCACCAACAAATCTTCACATTGTTGCACGAGCGCCGCAACTCGACGGACATGTGGCACCATGGCTGGAGCAAGGACAAGGTGGGTGTTCCTCTTTAAAAACGTTCAGACATGCGCGAGGCTACAACTTGCATCTTGCCGTAGACCTTGCCTGGCGGGGAGCCAAGAATAAGGTTGGCAATTGCGTCACGAGCCATGCGAATGTTCTGGTAGGCACCAAGGATGTGGACTTTATCGTCCGCGAGCACAATGCGAGTCTTGGTCGTGTTCTCAATGGTGTACTTGGTCTTGCCACCCTTGCCCGCGATGCGACCAATGGCACGAGACAGGTGCTCGCCCGACAAAGGCTTGACTGTAGATGGTGGGAGCAAACATGTGAGCCAAGTGCTTGGAGGGCACAAGAGATGAATAAAATAGAGGGCTTGGCCTAGGGACACGGACCGTCTTTGATCTCGAAGGAGTCGATGTAGAGTTCATCCATTCGCAGCAAAGCGATGGCATCCTTTACAGCCACAACGGAGGGTGGCAAGACAAACGAGTGAGAGATAAAATAAAATAAAAATGAATATTGGCAGGGTCTAGGAGCAAGAGCAACACAGAACGCGCTCAGAGGGGCGCATCTCACACAAGACTCAGATCACGGAGCGTACCTGCACTTCGAAGCCAAGCATAAAGGCCTTGAGGAAGTCAGCCGCCTTTTGCAAAGCAGCGGGCGATTCTGTTTCCGGGCACGTCTACTCGAGGCGATGAATGGTGAAAAAAAGAAACATGAAAAAAAGAGAAGGATAGCGAGCGTATGCGTGCCTGCCTGGCGCTGTTCAATCGGGCCGGGACGTACCTTCAGCTCCACCTGACGGCTCTTGACGTTCATACGAATTTGAAGCTTCATGTGTTCAACAACGGGCTGGTACAGGCCCATCCAGTTTTCCTTCAGTGGTGTATAACGGTGAGGGGGAACGGGTATCCGGCGAAATTGCGGAGCACCATCCTGCAGGCAAAAATAAGTGTGAAATGCGGTGAATGAGCCAGGACAACCGTTCAATGCTGCCCAGATTGCGCGCTTTGGCAAAAAAATAAAAAATAAAAAACACGGGAGATAAGATCGAGGACTGACCGCCATGGCTGCAGCTGACAAGGCGGGAAAGCTAGGAACATCTTGCCCCGGGGCTGTCTGATATTGAGCCTGCATTGCCGCATCCTGCTCGAGCTGCGCTTGCAGCACGGTGGGGTCGATGACGCCGTCGTCTTGCGTGTCCATCGCGACGGTGGTGGAGAAAGATGCGTTCAAGTACGTGTCAACTCTAATCCTTCAAGATGGCAACAAGTCTGCTGGCTGGCAACCAATACGGCGCTTCCCCTCGGTCTTGACGGCAGAGCAGGCTCGGAACGTTGTTAAAAAAAGATGCCAGACATCGCCCGTCACGGACACGTGTGTGTGCTGTGTGTGTGTGTGTGTGTGTGTGTGTGTGTGTGTCTGATTCGTTGATTCTGTCACATCGAAGCCATCTGTGAAATTATGAATGCCTGAGCACCTGTTTTAGCTCAAGAGCTCATTGGCATTTCTACAAAGTCAGCCAAGATTTTCTGACAAACTTGATCTGACAAACTACCTGCTACCAGGTGTTGTTTTCATCTGGTAGCGTCACTCCTTCTCTCTCCGCCCCGTTTGTGTCGCTGGAGATTGACTTCAATACCATCGCCACACTGACGCAACGTTAACAGATGTAGACGATTTCATAGCTCCTGCGGCGCATATTTCTTTTGTCTTTTCCGGGCCTTGTGATCAGCCCTCTTCACAAAAACGTAAGCTCTCTCTCTGCCTGTGCTTCCCTTGATCGGTCTGGCGATGAGGCGCCGCGCGACATGGCCGCGTTGCGAATGGCATCTGGGCTGAGACTGGCTGAAGGATGACAAGACAGCACCTGTCCGAGTGAGAAAGGTGTTGGGAGCGTACCGTCGGGATCCCGAACACCTCGCCATAGCTCCCACATACACACACACACATACACCCTTGTTGATGAATCAGTGTCAAATCGAGCTCGAGCACCGCCCCCTTTGCCTGTCCCTTTGCCTGTCCCCTGGCAGACCAATCGATGCGCTCTTTCTGTTCAAATGTCTAGCATCTGCTTTGGCATGCTTGATCCGTTGCATGTGGTCTTCGTGGGCGTCATTTTTGCGCTTTCTAGTGCTGCTGCAGTGTAGCTGGCTGACCCTTTTTTTCCCTCCTCGGTCGGCACGCGCATTCGCCCCAGCAGTGTTTTCATAGGTCCGCTCGACTGGCTATACTTCCCAAGCGTCACTGATCACCATGGCTGAAGGGTTTCACGAGGTCAAGTATGACGATGGCGACAAGTATCGCGGTCAGTGTTCTTTCTTGCTGGGCCAAGACATCCGGTCCTTGTGAGATAAGCTCCTGTGCCCGCGCCTGGTTTCACGAATTTGGGCCACTTTTGAGCAGGCATGTGGAATGCTGCTGGCAAGCGTCATGGCCTCGGCGTCGTAAGTTAACAAAGGATCCTGTCTTTTGCACGCCGTTTGGGAACCGCATCAACCTCATGGCATGCGTTTTTGTCGTCACGTACACAGCTTGACTTTGCGGACGGTTCCAAATATTCTGGCGAATTTGTCGAGGGCATGAACTCGGGCTATGGCATCCTCACCCTCAACGATGGTGTACGTATGGTTGCGCACATGTCAGCATGCATCTCCCGCGTGCTTGTGCTACTCGCTCCCCTCACATCGCTCAAATTGTGTGGTCTTTAGTCAAAGTATGCTGGTCAATTTTCAGATGGCAAGTACAATGGCTCGGGCGTCTTCACCAAGTCGGACGGCATGAAGTACGAGGGTCAATTCTCTGATGGCAAGGTTAGCCCGCCTTGACCCTCCCTGTGTTTTGAAAGGCTTTCCTGCGGCTGCTGCCTGTTCTATTTGCCGAGCATAGCGTGGCATCTTTTGGAGAGACACCTGCCCCCCCCCCCCCCAC